TGGGGCATTCTGGGAGTTGAAGTCCTCCAGGCTTAAAGTTGCCAAGGTTGGAGACCCCTGACCTGGATGACTGAGAGTCTCCACAGACAATCTCATTTTTGTTATATAGTTTGGGTCTCCTGATAAACAAATGGCACCTTTCCAAACCTGGTTCCCAACCTTATGAAACAGCAGCCCTTCATAGAGCAACCCAAACTGACTTAGCTTGACTCAGCGAGTTACCCTTTTGCTTGGATCACTGGAAGTAGGTAGCCAGACAGCGGCGGGACCGTAAATGTCGGAACAGTGGCGGCTTCCGAATACTGGCTGTATCACAAAAGAGTGGAATAACAGAGCCCTTATTCCTGCAGGAGTATTCTGAGGCCGCTCTTCAACTAGCATATACGGGGAGCGGAACTAGCAGTTCACCCTGAGGAATCAGAAACCACAATCCCGAACAATCTGAAATGAGGCGAGCCAGACCGTTCACACAGGAACGTTTCTAGGCTCCTCCCCTTCTCCTGACTTCCGGTTCCGTCCTCCCAGCTTCCGTTTTGAAGCTTCCTTTGAAGGAAGAGGAGCCTTTCCAACGGAAGCGCCCAGGCTCGGCGGGGTTTTCGGGGGTTGTTTTTGGAAGGGGTCAGAGGCGCGGAGGGGGCTGTCGCAGCGATGGAGAAGCTGCGGCGGGTGCTGAGAGGAGAGGACGACGAGGAACAGGGCCTGACGTCGCAGGTGTGGCTTGGGGGGCGGAGGAGGGGGGCGGGGAAGGCGAGAGCGTCCTTTCGAGTTTCCCGCTTTAGCTCCGGGGTTTTGGGGCCGGGTTTTCGGGGCGCCCTGGCGGGATTTCCGTGTTTCCTCGGGGCTAACGCAGCGTTGCTGTTCCCGCGACTCGTGACGAGAGAGCCAAAGCAACTCGCCAAGGCAAATGGAGGTTCTGTTCTGAGCAGTACGGATGGCACCGCTGCATAGGGGAGTCTCTCCTCTTGGCCAGACTGGCTTCCTCTAGATTCCCTGGATCATAGGCTCCATCATTCCCTGCCGGCGAGGTCGCGTCAGTACGGACGGTGGTATTTGTCCACGAGGAAACGCTAGGCTAGGAAAGCTCAATCTAGGCTACTCTGAACGTAGCTGGATAAAGTGTCGTCGTCCCCTCCGCCTCAACTGCTTTTACCAGTCTGGGTGCCAGCAAGGAACACAAAAGCAATCGGGCTAAACGAAGCTTGCTTTAAACTGAGTTTTAGGAAAGTTATTGCCTGCTGAAAGAAAATGAGGACCTGTATTACCCTGTTTCTCCAACAATATGGCCTCCCCCAATAGGAAGTCCCAGCATGCTTTATAGGCATGAAATGAAATTAAGCCCCTCCCCCCAAATTAAGGCCTATATTAAAACATGTGAAATGGGGGGAATGGTGGGGGGGGCTTGCCGTTAGGAAGTACTTTTGTTGCACACCCGGATATGGTGCTGCCTGCGTTGACCCCGATACGAAGTGCCCCACCAACGCCGAGGTCAACATCCAAGCTATCGCCGCCCGCCCGCCCGAAGATGCAAGGGGGGGGGAATTAAGTCACCCCACGGGGCTCAAAAAAAAATAAGACCCGGCCTTATTATATGAGAAACACGGTACTTTTTTACAGAGGGGAAGATCTGTACATAGTAACAGCTTTTGTCTTCATCTTCAAAAATGTTCTTTCCATTATGGCAGATACAGACGATGGTGGGTCAGGGTGAGCCTGTTATCGGGTTTTTGTCATGTGGGTCGATTCTGTTGAGAAACAGAATGGTACAACTCTGCTTTGGCTTCAGAGCTTATCAGATTTTAGGCTTTCCAAGCATGGGAAAGGCTGCCATCTGAAACCTTGGAAAGCTGTTGTCAGTCTGATGAGTTTCTGCTGTGATATTCTGGTATCTGGGACGATTCTGAACAATGCTACCCATATTTCACATGTTAGTTCTTCCAATACCTGAAGTTAACTGTCAAGTTTCACTAGACGTTTTTCTTCTTCTGGCTAAAAGCACCAAATGCTTCCAACCATTTTTGGTAAGCTTTCCTTTCAGGCCTTTTATCATCTGGGCTGTTATGTCTTGGATGCATAGCTATTTGCTGTCATTTTTCTTAAATACACTACTCAAAGTTTGATGCATTGCTCTAGGTGGAGCATGGCCATCACAGATAGAGGAACAATGGCTTATCTTGGTCTTGCCACTGTACTTATTTAATGTAGATATGGATTGCATTTTTTTGCAACTGTATCACATTGCCTGTTCATCTTTTGATCTGTCCATTGCACATGTGCTGCTGCCTGACATAGCTCCCCACATTTTTGATATTGCACATAGCTGACATAGCTCCCCAGCAATATCTTTGATATTGCACAGATTATAACCCTGCAGTATGCTACTCACTACTTGCAAGTCAATGCAATCCATTCACAAGCACTTGATGGGTATGATTGTTCAAACAGCTTTGTACCCACATAATGATAACATAGAGAGCCAGTCTGCTGGAGTTGTTAAGACATCAAGCTAGAAACCAGGAGATTGTGAGTTTTAATCATTGTTTATACACAAAGCAATTTGGGCAACCTTAGACAAATCATTTTTTCTCAGTCTTAGGGAGGTTAAAAAATTGTAGGGATTGTCCCGGCAATCTCCAAGAATCAGACACAGCTGAATGGGAAAATAAGCTAGCATAGTCCAGCCCATATTTTAATACTTTATTAAAATTCCATTAGAATTTTTTCAGATCTTTGTTGAAGACAAAATGTACCATGTCCACCGCATTCCTGTGATCAATTGACTATCAAAAATTGAGATCAAATGAACTGGCATAATTTATTTTTGATAAATTAATGCTTCCTCCTGTCATGACTTGCTTTCTAAATATTCACAAACTGATTGCTTAATCTATTCCATAGTTTTGACCATTGCTAACCTTACTGGATCTGTAGTTAATCTTTTTTCTCCCTTTTGAAAATAAAAACAGCTTGAAATAACATTTTTCCCTGCCATCTATCAATGTCCAACATCTTTTCCTAGTAGCAAGCTCCTTCCTGCCTTTCTGCCTATTTCTGAATTAAAGTATAAACAGTAATATAAATGATGCCATGATGTTTACCATGAATTAGTAACTTTAATGTGAACTGTCCCCCCTAGAGCCCTCTAGAATTAAACAGGTCTGATTGAATAAAAATACTCAAATATTCAAAAATGCCACCAGAGAGATCCAACATGGGAATCATGTACATGTTGATGGGAGAATTGAGTGTCATGGAAGGAAGGCATAATGTAAACATAAACATTCATTTGTGGCCATTCCTTTAAATATGAAGGTAATAGTATCCTGATATTCACATTCCTCAGTGATTTATATTGACAGATATTTTATATCAATTAAAAATCTTGCCCTCGATGAATGTTATCAAGCATTATCTTATGATCATGAAATCTTTAGTTTTAAGTGCAATGCAAATAACTTTCATTTATCTTTCCTAATTGCTATCATTCTATTGTACTGAAAAGCTCTGAGGTCCAGTACTGAAAAGGGGAGTCATATCTTGAATATTTTATACATTTCTTTTATACATGCCCCTCTTGTATTTTTTTAAGCTGTTTCAGTTTGAATTTTCCATCAGGAAGTTGTTGTATTTCTATCACTGCTTTCCTCTTTTCCGCCCCTATTAAATTGTACGATATTGCTTTGAGTTGCTGTGACCAGAACTTCATAATATTCCAAATGTGGCTACAATAAAAAAATTATACAAAGGCACTTTGGTAATACTAATTTTCTATTCAATTCTTAATTATTCCAGCATGGATTTTTTTTTTTTCATGGCAACCACAGAGGGTTTTTTGTTAGTTTGTTTGCACAGTATGTTTAACTAGGTCATTTTTGAACTCCAGGATGTCATGTGAGTCCAGAGCTGGCCAATTTTAGTATTGGATCCTAACTTACTCTAAACCATGTTGTAGCAATTATATTCCTTCCTACAATTAAGTAAATATTTCTTTCCTCAGTCAGTACTCTTCTGATTTGCATTGGGGGGGGGATATTTAGTTTGATGCATTTAAAGTGGATGTTTCTTTGGATTTATTTATTTAAATATTAGATATTTAATATCTAAACATATTAAGAAATGTGCATATCTAATTCAGGGAGGAACAGCTATCCTACATGTACATTTGTTACATTTTTAATATTCTTTTCTCTGTGCTGCCTATATAAGGATAAAGATTTGGACTGGAAAAGGTAAGCTGTATACTATTACAGTTTGAAACTTCCCATTCATTACTATGGATAAGGGGAACCATGTCTAATCATTTGCCTTTAGTCACTGTGAGAGTTTTGAAAACTAAGTATTGGGTGCTTGTGTAGAATTGTCTTTCTGAGCATTAAGATCTGGTTTTAGGAATTGCCACCTTGCAAATCACAGAGAAAGTTGTATTAATTGCACCTACCTGATCGGTTCTTGGTTTTAATTGTTTGTTTCTTTTTGTGTGTTAATTAAATTGTAGACCACTATTAATATTGAATGGATATTATATATTTAGTATAATAGAATTCTTTTTATGTGTGTATACAATAACTATTAAGATCCAAACAAATACATGGAAATGAACACAAATCTGTTCTGCCTTGTAATTTTTAAAACATGTTCATGGAAAATTCTCAGCTCTTGAAAAAAATTGCCATTGATTGCATAGTTTGTTAGGATCTGCTAGCAGAAGTGTGTCATTTTGATCCTTTTAAATCATTATCATGGATCATTGTACCCTTCTGGACTGCTTTTAGGTATTGGATTAAGTGTGTTCCAAGTTATAGTTGGGCATGAGAAGGGCAGGGGAGATCAGTGTAATTGCTACATCCTTTGGGATACCACAAAATTGGTTCTTTTATATTTACAAGAAGCCAATGGGAGGTTGTCCAGTGGTTTGATTCCCAGTTTTACATTGCTACGCCAGGCCAGATGGTGATATTGAATCGTGTTTGATGCCTGGAGGTTATGAAGTTCTGAATGGGAGAGAACAGATGGCTTTTCTTGATTGTCATGGCATTACCTGGGCACCTGCAACTTGGAGGTTCCTCTGAACCACAGCTCCTGTGAAACAGCAATTGGAGGCCAGCTGGAGTAGGTTTTGCAGCTTAAGCTACTGGACCAGTTGTTGATCCTATCAAGTGGAAGGATCTTGTTAAAGCAACTCATACCCTCACCACCACTCACTTGGACTACTGTTACATGCACTGCATGGGGCTATCTTTGAAGATCATTCTGAAGCTGCAGTTGAGTTAGAATATAGGGGCTCAGGGATCATATTCGATCAATATTTGGGCCAGTTTGTTTCCACCAAACTTCTGGGTGCAGTGAATGGCTTTGTACCTCTAATTGCAGGACTACATTCTCTCATTGGTAATGTCCAACCAGTTTGATCTACCTGGAAGAAACTATTAATGATAACTGGAGAGGGGAACAAGGCAAAATGGTGTTGCTTTTCAGTGGGTGCACAATTCCTTTGGAACAGCTCCCAGAGGATATTTAATTGGCTCCAATTCCGATTGCTTTCCAGAAGCTGATATAAGCAGAACTTCACTGAAAGGCATTTTGGCCTTGATTCAGTATTAATTTGGTTATTGTTTGATAAATCTAATTACTTTTTATTATGTTGTGGATCATTTATTTGTATGCTTTTGTTTAATGTATATTATTTCTTGTGTATTTTTTTCTTCTAAAGTCCTTAGAGACTTTGTATAATAATAATAATAATAACAACAACAATAATAGTAATAATAATAATATAGTAATAGTGTATTCACTGAACTAATGACATTCCTATCTGTTCATAAAAGTGAGATAAAAATTAATTTTTGACCATTTGCACTTACAGTTTAATAATGAAATTAAATTTTTGTTCTGATTTGTATTTATACAGCTATCAAGTGAATAACTAACTTGATTGGGATATATACATATATGGTGTATGTATAATTTTAGAATGTCCTTTTTTATTTTTCTATAAGCATATGTATACTCTTAAACATGTCAAAAGAATTATTTGAAAAACAAGTTATATGTTTGAAAGTGATGCCTGCCTAAATATTATGTTGTCATCCATTTATTCCTAATGTTTGTAATGAATCATTTTTAGAAATGGAATTGTGAAAAGAGCGTGTTTATCACCAATAAATAACATTCTAATTCTGCTAGTCTGTATTTTGTTCATCATACCATAGTAAATCAAATTGAAATATATAATCTCTAGTGGTTGTTTTAATTTGATTACTTCATTTATTTTACATAATTAAGATGTTTGTTAGTCTGCCAGGATTCATTCTTCATTTAATTTTTTTAGGGATTTAAAGTGAGTATGCAAGCTTGTCTTTGAAAAATTAAATATCTACATATAAAATTAGTGTATATTTTTAAAATCAATTTGTAAATACTTGAGGCTTTAAGAGCATCTACCTTTTACAGTTGTTATTTATTTTAGCATTCTGATGTTTGCATTGGTAACAATGTTTTATTAGTAAAGATTTCTGTCCTATTAAAATCTGGTTTATTTATTTCTTTATCCATAGGTCCTTGATGGATCATCCCTGAGTTTTAATACTCGTGTGAAATGGTTTGCAATATGTTTTATATGCGGCATTTTGTGTTCTCTCCTTGTAAGTAAATATTTCACAAACGCAGAATAAAAAAATTCCCCTTTATATGTTTTAATTATTTTTCATCTCTGTTCTTAGACAAATGTATTGATATATGGAGTTGGTAGAGAATGGTTGGTCAATACATTAGGAAAAAGTACGCAGTATATGGAAATACTAACTTCTCCTGGGAAGCAGATTTTCTTTGTGTCAGATGCCATTTGTGTAAAAAGCAGTCAGAAGAAAACATTTGTAACCTTCAAGGGTAGCCTTCAAGATCTCTATATGTATTGGATCACAAATCCAATCTTACATAATGCTGTTTATGGTGGCTTGTGGTTGTCAAAGATTATAGGCAATACTGGGTTAGGGAAAGCAGATGCAAAAGTTACAGAGAACAAGATTTTTCCTCTTTTTATCGTTTGCATATATACTGTTGCTCCAAATTATTCTTAAATAGAATTATCTGCAGCAGACCTAACTGTTCACTAGTACCATTTTGTAAGTCATTAGGGGAAGAGAAAGCTTTTCAGATGATCTTAAAAACAGCTGGTAGACCCTTGGGATTTCATCAGTCAAGCCACAGCAACTGCTTTGATTACTTCCTATTAGTATTTCATATAGTACTGGATAGCAGACTTTTTCAGAATGGTGGTGCTACTTTCTTCCTTTTAAACTGGTGTACAGTGACTAGTCTCTGCTTTGTTTTGTATTTATTCTTCCCTCAGTTTGTGTTTATATTTTTAATCTGGTCACCATGCTACAGTTTTCTTTCCAGTCTAAAGCCAAAGAGTTTGTAAGTTTGGCTACATATTCCTTTATCTCAATCAGATGCACCATTGGGGGAGGCTGGCTTTTATGCCATTAATCAAAAGCCAGTGTTCCTGCTCTTCCTGCAGCTGAAAAAAAATGGTTTATTTTACAACTAAAACAAACTCTGGGGAAGCGGAGAAGAAGATAACAGTGCACAAGTTGAACTAGCGAACACTTTACTTTAGAGCTGTACTTTAACAGACCTGATTAATGGCTGGAATTATCCTCAGAGACTGACAGTCCAGGGACAAAGGAGCAAGGACTTTGCTTCAGGATTCAGGTTATCTTTAAGGCACAGGAATCAACTTCAGTCAGACATAGTTTTAAGATTTAATTGATTGTGGATATGTGTGTTAGAAACCTTGTCCTCTACAATATTCCTGTTTCTATACATACAGGGCATTCTTTGAAATTTCAGTTCTGTTGAAATCCCAAGATCAGGAATTACAGTGAGAACAATTTGTATGTACAGGTAGTCCCTGATTTATAACCATTCATTTGTTGACCTTTCGAACTTAAAATGGCACTGACAAAAGTGACTTACGATCATTTTTCACACAACCATTGTAGGATGCCCATGGCCATGTGATCAAAATTCAGTCACTTGGCAACTGGCATGTATTTATGATGGTTGCAGCATCCTGAGGGGGTTATGTGATCATCTTTTGCAACCTTCTGACAAGCGAAGTCAGTAGGGAAGCCCGACGTTAACAAATACGTTACTAATTTAACAACTGCAGTAATTCACTTAACAACTGTGGCAAGAAGTCGGGCGCAAAATCAGGCAAAAATCATTGTCTTGTTTAGCAATGGAAATTTTGGGCTCAATTGTGGTCATAGGTTGAGGACTACCTGTATTTTGTAAATTGGACTTAATACATTATTTGTTTTTTGTTCTTTTCAATCAAGATTGATTTTACTTGTTGCCCACTAAGACTTAACAGCTCTTGGTGACCCCAGGATGTTCAGTTGTCAGAAAAGTATAATGTTCTAATAATTTGTCTTGATTCTTGGTTTGATAAAACTGTAGATCTCCTCATGGTTGGCTTTTTTAACTGTATATATGCAGGGGACAGGATTGCTCTGGCTTCCAGGTGGAATAAAACTCTTTGCGGTGTTCTATACCTTGGGAAATATTGCTGCTTTAGCCAGGTATGATCTTTTTGCCGTTGTCTTTTTTTATGAGATTGACATGTTTCCACATTACTTGCAAAGTGCAAATAATTCTCTGTATATAGAACTGGGCTCTTTTGAAATTTATTCTGTACAATTACCAGATGTAAAAAAACCAATAGCAGACGGGACACAACCGTAGCTTTTAACTAATAAATGTAACTTCAACTGATATAATGAGAGGGAACAGTTCCCCTCCCCATCGCCTGACTATATCCTCAAAATTTGCTCTGTATCATTTTCATCCAGAGTTGGACAGGCTATATAGAGTGGAATGAAGGAGAAACATTGAATTAGATTGTCATAGTCATAAATGGACAAAAAGGGACTAGTGACCCTAACCTATAGTTATGACTGAGAAGATTAAAAAAAATCTTTTATTTTTTTCAAACTAGTACTTGCTTCCTGATGGGTCCAGTGAAACAGCTGAAAAAGATGTTTGAACCAACAAGATTAATTGTAACAATTGTTATGCTGGTAAGTTATGCTTGTTTGAAACCAAGAAAAGAGTTTATAAGTTCCAGATATTGGTGTCCATTCATAAATACAATGACACTAAAATTACAAAACGTTGCACTCAAATAATTAAGCAGTGGACTGCACTGCATGTTTTGTCACTTGTCCTCTTTCCCCGTGATGCTTCTGGTTGCATATTGATGATTAGAAAGGGTTTATCAGTTCCATTACCTTAGCATATTATCAGAATGACTTGACTTATTTGATTTGTTAAGTGATATCTTATGGCTGAGATATATTTGTCCTTTCATGAAATTTCTCCCAATGATGAGACAGTGTTACTGATCAGTAGCACAACTTTCTGAGAATTGCAGTGAATCTTTTGTAGGTTCTGTGAGAATACAGAGACATGGTTAACCACTTGTACAACAAATGTTCAAATTTGCAATGGCGTTGAATAAGCAGGAGTTATGATTAGTCCTCAATGGTCTGGCTATTCCACACCTGTGATTCCACACCTGTGATGGCAACTGGCTTGCACTTAACGATGGTAACAGCATCCTGCAGTCACATGAATGATTTGTGGCTTTCCCTGGCAGTTTCCCCCAAGCAAAGTCACTTTCCTGCCTGTTGGCTTCCTTGCAAGCTACCTGGGATTTGGAAATTCCTGCCAGCTTCCCCATTGACTTAGATTGTTGGAAGCCAGCAGGAAGTTGCAACTTAATGCCCTGCATTCCCCACTTAACAAGGGCAGTGGAAACTGCAGGGATTGCCATTGCTAAGTGATGCAGTCATGGGATGTTCACAATCTATGACTCTTATCACTTAGCAACAAAAATTCTGATCCCACCTGCAGTCTTAACTTGAGGACTGCCAGTACTGAAAACCCTAACCTACTTATATACACATTGATCTCACTCGTGTTTTGTTTTGGGCAGCTTTCTTTGATCCTCACATTATTTGCTGCATTTTGGGTAAGTAGTATTAATCAAACTTTTTGTACTTTTCAGCATGAATTTGCTTGCTTTGGATGCCCTAGTTAGTCTGTCTCTTATTTAAGATTTACTTTGTCTAGCTTAATATATTACACACATGTAAATTTTGCCCAGTTTTTTATTCTATTAAATAGTTGTAGATTGAGTGATACTATGTCATTTAAGTCTGCAAGCATGAGTGGTCTTAATGTTTATTCTCTCCAATAGAAAAGTGAAATTATGTGGCCTTCTGCTTTGCTGAATTTTCAGTCAGAAATAGAAGGTCCATGCAACACATTTTGTTTTTAAAATATACCATCAAATTCAACACTTGTTCTTTTCCTCACTTTCTTAGTGGCAAAAGAAAGGGTTAGCCCTGCTGTTCTGCATTTTGCAGTTTATGGCAATGACCTGGTAAGGTTTTCTTTGAAATCCTATCATTTATTACAGTCATGCAACCCTTTATTGTTACAAACTATGCAAATCCGATAATGTGGTCTCCTTGATTTGTGGTTGTGACTTGAAATATTGTGGAATCTTATTAGAACTAAAGGATGTATAAAAATGGTTTTCAAATTGTTTGGGGGAACTGTAGGATTGCTTTGAAAGTATAGCAGCCTCTAGAAAGTCTGGAAGCGGCTACCAGACTAATTAGCTGACCCCACCTGAGCCCTCTGCTTCCTTCCTACCCCCCCATCTTTTAATTCACATAGTTGTACTTTAATTATAGCAATAGCAATAGCACTTAGACTTATATACCGCTTTACAGTCCTCTCTAAGCGGTTTACAGAGTCAGCATATTGCCCCCAACAATCTGGGTCATCATTTTACCAACCTCAGAAGGATGGAAATGTGAGTCAACCTTGATCCCATCAGGATCAAACTTCTGACAGTGAGCAGTGAGTTAGCCTGCAGTATTGCATTCTAACCTGCACCACCACAGCTCTTATTTTTATAGTTTCATTGTCTTGCAATTATTACGTTTACATTTTTAAATATTTTTTTCAATTGTACTATTGTAAACCCCAGAGTAGCCCCATGGCAAGATGGGAAGCAAATTTTAACAAATAAATAAAGAGAAATTCCCTGACAAGATGGTGATTAAAGGATACTCTTTCTGTTACTGACGTGTTTCTTCAGTACATATTTACATAGGGATTGTTGGATGTTCTGGAACATTTCATGCGAAGCCATTTCTAGCTGGTGTATATAAATATAGCCTTTTTTAAAATGATACATTTATTAAACATGCTGAAACAAATGTCATAGCATATTATGAACAAGTATTGATCATAATTTAAAGACTTGATATTTCAGATATTGACCATAGATCAATCCTTTTATTTGTTAACAGTATTTATTATTCATTGTACAATATTTCTAGCCCATCCCAACCCAAATGGGATTGGTCAGGGTGTAAGAAATCCCAAAAGAATGCATTAGTAACATATAGAGAAAATAAAAATCAGCAGGGGGGAAAACCCCTAATGCATCCCAGTCATTTTTCATTTAACTAAAGGGCCAAATGCTCTTTGGAACAGATCTGCTTTGTCTTGTGTTTGGAATCCCTGTAGAGTAGGGCCCCTCCACACCCTCAAGAGAAAGCATTCCTGCTCTTGAGGGGATGTCATCACTTACAAGACCTGCCCCCTGGCCCAATGGACAACTTCAGTTTCTTGTTTATATGCATACTGAATTTTGAATTAATTGATGGGGGTGGAGTAAAATCTTTATTTACCAAGCCTTCCTTCTCGGAAATGTATAAGTCAAATAACAATAATAATATTTGTTTACTATTTTGAGTTTCTACACTTACAACAAAACCTGAAATGGAAGGTAGAATTAGGAATCTTGTAGCAGTATATCTCTTGTTTTGTTCTGAAGTATAATCTGAATAGCTAATTATATGAAATTGTGACAATAGACTGATGTCTCTGTGGGTGGCTGCAAAAGGGTGCTAAAACATAACTTCTCACCTTCCTCTTTTAGGTACAGTTTGTCATACATCCCATACGCAAGGTAAGTGTTACCGTATTAAAAAAAAAAGTTTGAAAATTTGAATGCTTGTCAACTGGTTTATATTTATGACAGTTTGCGTGTACTGGGATCATGTGATCCCTTTTCGTGACCTTCTGACAAGCAAGTCAATGGAGAGGCCAGATTCACTTAAGAACTATGTTACTAACTGAAAACTGTAGACATCCACTTAACAACTATGGGAAGCAAGGTTGTAAGATGGGGTAAAGCTCACTTAACAAATGTCTTGCTTATCAACATAAATTTTGGGCTCAATTGTGGTCATAAGTCAAGGACTACCTGTATCTAGTACGTTGGTCTTCAGTATGAGGCCTGCCAGGCTTCAAACCTCAGTTGATTTTATTTTATTAAATTCCTTGAACAAAATGATTGTAATTGAAAACAATAGCAAATCAAAATTGCCATTACAATTGAGCTAAAATATTGAATTTTATTAAAATGAATGGTTGGTTATAAAATTGTACAATGGTTGTCTGAAACGGTGTCATTTTGCTTTCATCGAGAATGGAGGAAAGGGAAGGGTTTTTAAATGAGAAGTTGATTGGTGTACCACTTGGTAAAGCCTTAAAAATAATGCATCATATCCACAAGCTGTACTTAGTGATTTTTCTTTTTCTTTTAAAGGGATGCTGTATTGAAATGCTTCACTTCTTGCCTAGGTTAAAGAGAAGCAGAACTTTTTCCAGTGCTTGGAAATCTACGTCATTTCTCCTAGGTTTACTCCCAAGTGCTTCAGATCCTGAAACAGTGACATCCTTACTCACAATGGGTGTTAAATTGTATTAGCAAAAGAAGCTTTTTCTTTTCTTTTAAAGTACAGAACCAGGGCATTATACCATCGCAAGACCCCTCAATCCATGCTTACTCTAAAAATATTTTTTACTCACTCAGTGGTCTTAAAATTGCTGGATGAAAGTCTGCTAATATGATTTAATCTCAAAATGATACAGTCTTTGAGTTTCAGGTAAAATGCATGTAAATACATCTGCCTCGTTTTTTTATTTATCTTTCCAATTTGTCTTGTTTTATCTTCCAAAATCCTATTAAATTGTAAAATGAAGAATTACACTATGTTATACCTACTAGGCCTCTTCAGAAATGATTAACAGTGGAGACAGCATGGCGGGGAAATGATACTATATAAGAAATGTGTTTTCCAAATTCAGGAACTTTGTGTTATTCCTTTATTTTAAATGCCAACTTTTTATACTGTGACACTTAAAATGCATTTAACTAAAAGAAGTTGAGTAATATATTAAATCAATGATTAAAATATTTAAAATTATGCAGTGTAATGGTATTTATGATTGAGATGTTCTGTAGAGATTCCGTATGTTAGTGCTGTTAGAACTACTATAAAATTACTTGGTCAGACTCAAACCTGGGTTAATGCTTATGTTTTGCTTATTTTAAAAAGTAGTGTCTACTGATATACTCCCACAATTTATCTACAGCATGCCTGCTTTTCTGTAAATTTAGAATCTCCCATACACACACCTTCCAATGCCATTAATGGTCTTGGGAGAGGAAATAGTCAAGTAAAATCTATATGTTCAAGTATGTTTAATTATGTGGCTAATGGCTGGATGGAACTGAAGGTTTACTTCAGCAATTTAAACAATAATTTAAGCTATAAAATGAATAACTTATTATTTGGTAATTTAACTTCCTCCCAACCATGTATTATAAAGATCAATAGCACTAAAACTCCCATTTCCTTGTTCTGCTTTCAGAGGGATTATACACACTAGTAGTTAGTGATAGGCCTGTGTGGCAAAGTCCCTTGTAAAAAAAGAGGCAGACAGCTGACTTATGAGTAATTGCAAACTAACACTGAGTGGACCCCAAGGATGTAGAAAACCTGCTGTAGCTAATTCATCCCAGACCCTTAAGCATTCCAGGTCAGGAGTTGAAAACAGTCTCTTTGGAGTGCCAGCAGCTCAACTCAAGAACTCAAAGAATAAATTCTCAAAATAAAATATCAAACCAAGGAAGAAAGATAGAACAGGTGGCAGCAGAGGAGGAGGGCTTGTTACCCTCCTTCACACCAGCAGATTCAATAGGTATCCCAACCTCAACAAATGGGCAATTCCCTAACTTGGAAATGCCCTTAGTTTCCTCACCTGAGAAATTTCAAGAGAGGAACCAGATCTATTTAGGGCCTGACAAATGAGCCAGGTCCTAACCAAGCAGCATAGACGGACGTGGGAGTCTGTTTATACTGACCTTGATAAGGGTAATTTCCACATCCTCTCTCTGTCCTCCTGCTCTCTTCCTTCATCTCAGTCTCCTCCAATCTCCACACCTATTCTTTTGGCAGGACATCTTTGAGGTTTAGCCAATCCTGAGCCTGCAGACACTGAACAATGAAAAAGTTAACCTTCGAGTTGTTTCTTTAAAATAGACTTTAGTTTGAAAGGTAAAAGTTGTAGCCTAGCAATATTTACTTTCTAGGAAAGGGCCTAGTCAGGGCTGCCAAACTCATGGCCCACAAGCCAGATGTGTCATGTGCTGGCCACACCTGGTTTAGCAAGGGGGAGGAGTCACAATATATCACGTTATGACACTTGATTGAGGGATCTTTCCTTCATCCACCCAGCATTCTTGGTTTCTATGTTTGCTGATAAGGAAGAGGTTTTGATTTCTTACAAGAAACCTCATAGTTTGCATGGAATTCTTTTGTTAGTGGTGACCAGGAAAACAATAAATGCAAAACCAGTTTAAGGAAATAACAGTGGCATATACTGAACTTAAGATATATTTGCATAGTACATGAGGCCATTCTAAGGCCATCTCACTGGAACCTCAGGATATATAAATCTGCTTCACTGTGGTCTGCTTACATAGCACATTTAACTAAGCAGCATTCAACGACTGCATTGGCTAAATGTGGTCAACCTGAACTTTGGTTAGGCTTCAATGACTTAGATTGTGTGAATCCACTGTTTGGGAAATACTGGACTCACTACAGCAGCGGCCTAGGCTACTAGCACGCATAGGCTACTAGCACGCAATCTAAAAGCAAATAGAGCTTTTATAGGCTATTGTCAATGAGAGATTCGTGTTTCAATGAAATGGGTAAATACTTTCTGTACAGGAAGAGATTTGAATGGAGAGTTGTAGGGGGGTTAGCAGCATCAACTAATCGAAAAGTCCCACTTTTTTCAGAGCGGGAAGTGGCTATTTAAACCTCCAGCATAATCCACTATGGAGCAGATTCCCAGTAGATCACCCCTTTGCCTTTTCAGAGGGGTGGCGGCGGCGAGGAGCTGAAGAATTCAAAAAAACAAAAACCGGCCCGGCTTCGAGATAAGAATCGCCTCGGCTCTTCTTTCTTCGCCAGGTAGGGGGCGAATTTCCGTCCTAAGGAAGCGGATTGGCTCTGCGGCCAGCCCTACTCAAAGCCCTCCAGCCTCGCCTGGACGTCGCCGCTCGCTCGGCTCCTCCTCTAGACTCCAACCCGTCTCGTGTCTCATTCACCGGCAGCATCAGAGCTTAGGTGGCGCACGAAGGCGCCGGGCTGCTTCGCCGAAGGCTGGCGAGGAGCTCTGAAGACATGCCCAGCTGAGCGCGGACACAGGAGGAGGAGGAGGAGGAGGAAAAGTCTCTCCCGCCATGTCCTTGCCTCCTATCGCGCCGCCACCTTCGGCCGCCCCCCGACTGCAATCGAGGAAGCAACACCAGCCGTCGCCGCCCGTGGCGGCTCCTCGAAAGCCGATGGCGGTGTTGGCGACGGCCCCTCTCGCTCCAGGCAAGCCGCCTTGGAAAGGGCGCGGCGTGCCTTCCGAGCGACCCGCCGGCTTCTCCAGTTCCTGGCCCAGCGCCTCCCTGCAGAAGCAGCTGCCGCGCGGCAAAGCGGGCCAAGGCGGCAGGAACGCCCCGCCGGCCGAAGGAAGGGCGGCGGCTGCGGCTGCCTTGAGCGCTGCCTTGTCTCGCAGCCGGGGCCGCTCGGGACCGCCGGCCGCTGGCACGCGCTCCTGCGAAAGCCTCTGCCCGGCGCCGGGAGGCCGCGGGGAAGCTTCGCTCCGCTTCTCGCTCAGCCTTCCCCCGGAGGCGATCCGGGTCCTGCAGCGGCGGAGCCTGGAGAAGCAGCGGCCGCGAGGGCGGGTGGCCCGCTTCGCTTCCCCCGACGCCTCCAGGTGTCCTCTGGCGGGAACCTCGTCGCCCGAGGGGGACTTGCGCGCCTTGCTGCAGGTGTCGCTGCTGAACGAGCGCCACCGCTACGACGACGTGGAGTACGAGGAAGATGAGGCGGCGGGCGACCCCGGAGCCTTCGCGGCCGACGAAGGGCTGGTGCGCAAGTGCACCGAATGGCTCCGCGGTGTGGAAAGCGCCGCTGCCCGGGACCGGGCGGGCAAGATGGACACCCTGCCTCACTTGAGCACCCTTTGAGCGGCCGGGCTTGTGGGTCTTCACCAAGGCGCTCTTCCGAAAAAAAAAAAAGAAAAAGCACCGTTTGCGAATACAAATGCTTACCGTTCCGTTTTCCGGTTGCTTTCTAGCTTACTCCTGCGAGGAGGGGGGTCGGGAAATCTCACATTCTACTTATGGGTCGTACCGTAGAGCACAGGGGTGGATTTCGGCCTCTCTTTCCTGGGGAGGGGAGGGGGTGTGGTTTTCTTTTTTGTGCCTTTTCTTCGGAAACACCCAGGCGGAAAGCCCTGCCGTTCTGATCACCAGCGGTTGCTAAGGCAGCAAGGTGGCCTGACGTTGTACAGCGGTAGCCTTAGGTAAAATGCACTTTGAAGGGATTGTTGCTCCCCCAGTCAACATTGTCTCTTTGCTTGATAGCTCATCAGAAAGGTGCTTACCATTGTCTCCCAAGATGTGTCAAATATGTCTGCCAAAAGAGCATCCTCGCTTCACCTCTGCTTCTGGGAGTCTGCTTCACTTCTTGAATGGACTAGTGTTAATCTATCCAGCATTTTTAAAAAAATGTTATTGCATAGTGTTAAGGAAAAGGACACAGGAATGCATTTGTGTGTTATTCTTTGCTAAGGTAGTATAAATGTTTGAACGTGAAAGATGGGAAAGGTGAAGTAAGCTTAATGCCTCAAGTGTTTGGTTTTATTAAAACCAGCCAAATATGAGTGTTCGATTTTTATCGTCTCTGTTCAATTTGTTATAACGCAGTGATTTATTTTGTTAACCTTTGTAAAGATTGAGGACTCTTGTCTAGTTTGAATCTGTTCCAAGTATGCTTAGAACAGCTTCACCTTACTTCAGGGCAAACACCCGAATGCATGCTGAGATCCAGAGAAGTTAAAGCAAGACTGGGGGAGGGGGGAACCTATTCCCTTGGTTTAGTTCAACTTTTTGGATGTGTTCTGAGGATGACTCCGAAGTTTATGAATTAACTTTCATTCTCACAATAGAGGCAAAAAATATGCTGTCTTCTATTCAAAGTGTTCTGAACAGAAATATTTTATTAGTACTTTGTAAATATAGAATAGCACAGTGATTTTGTAAACCTGCAACATTTCTATTTATTTGAATAAACCACAAAATTTTGTGAGACGGATGTTCTTTTTGTTTAATATCCTACATTTCAACAGAAAATTAACTAATGGATTCACCATTGGCAAGTCAGATGTATAAAGTTAAAATTGCATATATATTTTTATTTCATATATATGTGTGTGTGTGTGTGTATGTGTGTGTTCATTCAATCTGATTGATAGTTGGTAGATGGAAATATATATCTAAATATTTAAAATACTTAATTTTTTTAAATTGGTTTACCATTTATTTGCCAAATATCAGAAATAATAAAATGATTTTTAATGGAAACTAGCAGCTTTATTTTAGTATACTTAATCTCTAGGTCATTCTTAAGGGGAAAAAAGAGATATTACTGCGCCTACTCATCTGCAAAGGGGATATGCTAAAATAATATCATGTGAATAGTCTTTCCCAACCTGGTAACTTGAAGATGTGTAGACTTCAAACTCCCACAATTCCCCAGCTGGCCAGCCAGGAATAGAGTGAAATGGACATGAGTGAGAGTTGAGGGATAAAATTTCAAAAGGCAGGAGCCAGAATGTTGCTATTAATATAAAAAATTAACTACAGGAAGCCAGACAGCACATCATCTACCTTTGATGGGAATGTGAGAAATAATTCCTCATTGTTTTTACATTTGATTTGCATAAAAATACTCCCGTGCAGCAACATTATAAGCTTGAGAAGGCCACGAGTCAATAGAAGCATCTAAATCACATGGCTGGCCCTATTCCGTGGGGTGCTTAAATCTGGCCCACGCGGCCGGCCTGGAAATAGCAAAGGACCGGCCTGTGGTGCCTCTGGCAGCCAAAATGGGTACACACTGTTTTGGCCAGTAGAGTGTTGCAAGAGGCCATCCAGGCTGAAAATGGGGCATGGGGGGGGCATGCGTAGCCCTCCCATGCCCCGTTTTGGCTGGCAAGATGTCTGCCCCTCCTCCAGCTGGCTCGCAGAGAGCTACAATGCTGATCCGGCCCTTGAAGAAATCCAGTTTGACACCCCTGATCTAAATTCTTCCCCAGCATCTATTTGATAATGGAGTGTAAAGAGAACTTAAATATTTCTCAGCCAAATGGTGTTGAGATTTTTACACTGATCAACAGTCAAGCGAGCTAATCTGAAACTTGGTTATTCTTTGAAAAGTGCACACTGGGATTATGCACTCTGCAAGTTTATTACAAAAACATTTTGTATAGAACTTGCCAATCATACATGATAGGATAATTGGGTGATTATTTTCCAGATCACTCTTGTAGAGATTAGGTGCAATGGCTCAAGTTATAAGGTAGTGGGGAATTACTGATGTTTGCAAAAAGGAGAACAAGTACAGACATCCACTAACGGATTTATTTTTAAAAAAATCTGGGGGGAATTAAGTCCTTTCCACCCACTTTGCTGTTCTTTCAGTGGGGGAGAGCAAGTTAAACATTTCTGAATTTGATATTGGCCCCTTGGACAGAAGAGTAAGAAATTGTATGCCTAGATTTCTCTACTGACTGATCCATGAAATAGATTTTAGTAATGGGTGTCTTCAGGTACACTGAATTTTTAGAGCTGTAAACTACTGGTTACATAGGATTAAACAAGCTATCATTTTTTGTTGAGAACTGCTTTTTGAAACTTTTCTCGGTTCATTGTTTTCCTTTCCTCTCCCAACCTACGCAGAAAAGATTGATACTCCTTTTTCAATGAAAAATTTCTCCAGAATTTGGATAGTTACAGTGTTTCGTGGGTATATAGGCAGAAGCTAACACAGTACTGCCTGAGATACTCTTTGTCAAAACTATAGCTGCACAGGCAATCCTTGGTTAACAACTGCCGTGTTTAGTGACCATTCAAACCTAGCACTGAAAAAATATATTTGCAACTGGTCCTCATACTTAGGGCAGACACAGCATCTCCAAAACACTTGGCAACTGACACACATTTACAGCAGTCACAGTTTCTCACGGTCATGTGATTGCCATTTGCAGCCTTCTCTGTCAGCTTCTGACAGCCTTACTGACAACCAGAGAAATTTATAGAATCTGCTGCTTTTGTCAAAATGATAAAAGCGTCACACCATTGCAAGGCAAATTCTGCCCTTTTCATACGTATGTGTCATCACAACACATATAAAAATATGTTGGAGCTGGCATCACTTTAATGTGGTTTTATTGCTTTTATAAACTGCAAGTCTTAAAAGTGTTTTTGTAGTAGTATATATTCATATTCATGCAATTATTTATATACTATATATGTTCCCACTATAAATTTGGCTTTGAACACAGCATTTGTATTCAAAAGTACATACTTACCCGAAAGGATCAAGGTAGTGTCATCAGCACAGCACCCTTTGGTGTGGGAGAAATTGATAAATTTGTCTCCTTTTCATTTGGTACCATCCAATTACATTTTCTTCTTGTGTATCCAGTTTGGCATTCCAGTTTCCAACACAAGCACCACTTCTTATATGGTCTGTCAATTTTAAACTGAACTTCATCAAGGATGGAACTCTGCATCTGAGTTCTCTCTCCAAATTTTGTTAGTTTAAAAGGTGGTCCTATAGGTTTCCTTCTAAACAATGTAAATCCACTACTACAGACAGATTGATCGGAACAATTGTACCTGGGATTATTCTGAGGATTAGTTTTCTGATTGGGTAGTCCAGTTTCCAAATTCAGAAATGATTTTACTTCTAGGATGGGACTCAATGACAAGTTCCTTTTTTCAACATTTGCTTCTGCACTGGTGATTAAAACAAATTTAAATGACCATCACATTAAAGGGTTGTCCATGAAGTCTAATTGATATTATTCTGTCACTGATTCCATTGTGGCCAAGTACTGTGTCTGCTACACCTTTCCTAACTATAAAAGCAATACTGTTTCATAGTTTTTCCATGTCTTGAGTAATAAAGGGTATGACTGTCTGACAGAAAATGCCCTATCCCATCCATCTCAATTTGATGATGGCTAAGATGTCAATTTGTAGTTGTTTCATCTTTGGGTTGAGCTTTCCTATGTTTATACTTCTTACGTTCCATGTCCCTGCTGCAATTCTATGCAGCTTTAGATTTTCTTTTCTTGTATGGCAACATCAGCAACTTGACATCCTGTAGGTTTTACGGAGCTCTTTTATCAGCACGCTAAAAGATCATCAGCTCTTCTTCAGTAGCTTACAAGAGGAACCCATCACCAAGCAATCATTTTATATTTTACACACACACGTGCATATGTATATACTTATACATATACATACATACATACATACATACATACATACATACATACATGTTGTGACTTGGAGGGCTTTGGAGGTTTGAGCCTGCTCTGTTAGAAGACACAGGCTCGAGTAATGAGGAAGAGGAGGATTTGGCCTTGAGGTTTGAGCCTGCTTTGCTGGGAGACACAGACGTGAGTCAGGAGGAAGAGGAGGATTTGGCTCTGAGGTTTGAGCCTGCTTTGTTGGAAGATTCGGAATCATCTTCTTCCCCAGGACCTTCCTCCCTGGTTGTGCCGCAGGTGTCGGCAGATAATCAGGAGAGAGTGCCGGAGTCCTTGGCTGAGGATCAAGCCAAGGAATGCTGGTTTGATGCAAGGCAAAGACGCAGGCAGAAGCGTGAAATACAACGTAAAAGGAAATGTCAAATCAGGGACTGACTTGAGGGACTGACACACCCCTCAGGAAATAAAAGAGGGCGTGTTAGCTCTGAATCCTCATTCGGGACAATTTGTTTATTTGGAATAGAAGCTTTGACAAATTCTCTGTGCCGCATTCGCCTTTGATTTATGGCCTTGTCTTGTTATCAGACTTGGTAGGCAGCTTTTGGAAGACTGCCAAGGACTTCTCCAGCCAAAGGAATTTAACTCTGTCGTTCCTGGTCCTATCTGTTTATTTATATTCCTTTGGAAATTTGGACTCTCACCTCATGGTCACAGGTGAGACAGAACACATATATATGAATTGATGTTTTTGCCATTACCATGACCTCTGGCATCTTCCTATATCACTGCTCCCCAATAAAGGTGCCCACTTGCTTTAGTCGAGCAGCTAGAATGACTTTTATATATTGAGTGATCCAGCTGGGAAATATATACTGTTGGCACAAACTCCCAATACTCTATGTTTGTTGCTCCCAGGAGTACTCCCTGCCACAATGAAGCTACTCAGCAGGACTTTTTTTGGAGGGGGGGGATATATATAGCTACTAGTAGGAAGTAAAATAAAAACTACTAGGTTACCTTTATGTCAGAAGTGGTATTCAGCAGGTTCTGACCAGTTCTGGAGAACCAGTAGCAGAAATTTTGAGTAGTTCAGAGAACCAGCTCCCATCTATTCTCTGCTTCCCAAGTCCCAGCTGATCGGCTGGGTCTTTTTTTGTTGCCCTGCACAGGAGAACGGAGCTGGAAAGCAGGTTAGTGGGGTGGGGATTTTACAGTATCCTTCCCCTGCCACGCCCACCAAGCCATGCCACGCCCACAGAACCAATAGTAAAAAAAATTAAATCCCACCACTGCTTTATGTTATTTATTACTCTTTTATCTCCCTTATGCATGGAAAGAACAGAAGTAAGTGTTGGAAGAAAATTCTTAAAGCTGCTTGGATATTCCCTTGTAGCTACAGTACTACTCTTGCTATTTACTTAATTACTGCTAGCCTATTAGAAATATTGAGATGCGTTCCCCAATTAGTACATATAAAATGGAAGAGATATTAAATCCCTAATGTAAAAGGGATTAAATCCCTGATGAAGCTCACATTTTGGGAATGTGCATTAATTAATCTTTTGTATTTATGAGATTGGGATGTGAGTGTTTAGAATTAACCAACAAGAAGTTGCAGAAAACAAAATCTTTCTTCAACTCTATTTATGGTAACTGGGGTTATGAATTTCAGACATCGGTGAACTAAATAAAATAACAGTTAAATTCTTGAACATAGTAACAAGGACAATAACATTCTAAAATAATAAAATCATGGATGAACCGGTGTGACGCCAACGAGGACACAGTGAAAAAAACGTTTTTTTTTAATTCCCCCAGGGGACCTTTTCTAAGAACTCTTGTGCATTTGACCAGTCATTCCCGCCATTGTTTGCTTTCCCCGCACTGTAATTCCAGGCCCTCTTTTTATAGGGAAGCAAACAGAAAAGCAATCTGTCTCCGGCCCTTAAAAGTCAGAGGAAGGGTCGCCAACGGCTCCGCGGGACCGCCGGTGGGAAGGAGACAAGGGTGGCGCTCAAAGCTGACCCGCCCTTGCAGCTTCCAAAACGGAAGCGAGGGCGCTTTTCGCCTGTGCACCGAGGGACGCCGTACTCCGTTGCGAGGGGTAAGCCGCACCGCGACTCCTCAGGGGGAACGTGGGGATAGGGTGTGCGGGGAAACCTGCCTTTAGAAGGACTCGCTGGAAGCGCACGGGCTTTACAGTCACGGGCGCGGTTGACTTTTCTAGGGAGAAGGCGGGGAAGAAAAGGCAAAGTCAACCGCCGTTGAGGCAGGGTTGTTGATGCTTCACTTGGAGCATTTGGGATCACGCAACAGGGCTTAACCAAAATACGCATTTCGCCCACCTATAGCGAGAAAGGTTGCAAAGCGTAGTGTAGGTACTTTTCCTTCACAGACATGGATATACTGAATGATCCATACCAAAGGTAGCTAACAAGGAAGCTCTTGGACATTTTTGTGACAAAGGACTTGGAGATGATGATATTTCATCCTTTATAATTAACAGCCTGTCCAGCCTTGTGTCATATTATGTAGGGAGATGAGTAATAGAGAAAATTCCACAAGGTGCACCTGAGCTCCTGAATATTCTCAAGGGCTGGGTTGAGACAGCCAAGACCAGAAGGGCGTTGACTTTCTGTAAAGTGCTTTCTTCATTTTGGGTGGGCCCTTCTAGGTTCTGGGAGCATGTTTTGAGAACACCATTCTTCAAGGATCATGAAGCCCTGGAAGATAGCACCTGAGACTTCATAAGTTATAAGCCATTATCTTTGGGCTAGACATTAAGGTTAGGGTTAGATAAGATTTTAAAGGCACCAGGTGGTTGGCATGGCCGACTGAAAATTGTTGAGCCCTTTTACTTTGAATTCAGGGATTCACTGAATTGTGTGGGAGGTGGCCTGAGAAATGCTCTCCTGGCCCCATTGGGGATTGAGGCATGAACACTGCTTTGGTCAGTAGCAACCTGTCTGTAAAGGTTCACAGAGCTTTAGCGTTGCAGATCTTAAGGCTCAGTAGAAATAATTTTATGCAAATGGAAAGAAATATATATGCCTGATGTTAAGGGAAAGATTCAAGATAAGTGATGTCCATTTTTGAACTCTCCTTATAATCTAAAAACAAGAGAATGGATAAGGCTAAATCTATAAGGCTAAATTTAATACTAAATTAGAAGATTGGATTAATCTTATATTGATCCTACACAGTTCTTATTTTTTCTTTATTAGTTTCTTGTTTTATGTTCACCTTATTTTGATTTATGTTCACCTTACTTTGATCACTGTTAATATATGTCATTCTTTTATTGGATAGTGTAACTTTTTGTTGTCTTTCACCAATTTTTTTAAAAAAATCAGTTCTCTGTGATTCAAGAGATGTTTTTGGAGTTCTGAAATACTTAAGAAATCAAGGTAACATTCTGTGAATGTTACATTGTTTTGTGCCTATTCGTCGTGGTCATTAATCTTCTTGAACTGTCTACTCTCTCATTTCAAACTTGACCTTTATTGAATTCCACGAACAGAAGCCTCATTGAAAACTCAAAACCTTGAAATAATTCAAGGACATGTTGCTCTGAACTGTTATTAAATAAATTATGTATTATGGTTTATATACCTTAGCGTGTTGTGCAATTGCAGATAGTTGTGGCATATTTAATAAAGTATAGCTACCATGTCTTAGAAATGTGTCAGATGTCATTTAAGTGCCCTTGCTAACACTTGAGCCGTGTTGAACCTGGACCAGGCTGCTGGTTCTGTCTGCCTAGACGTCCTATCTCCCCTTTCCTCTGATCAAAAGTAGAATAGAACCTTGAGCCTATGGCATAATGGCATGCTTTTGTCCAATGCACCAAGGACTCAAAAGCTCCCTACTCTGCTCGCATGTTTGGAGAAGCTACACCATAAGAGCCTAGCCCTGAGAGCAGTGATGAAGACCTATATGTTGGGTAGGTGGTACTTCCATCTACTGAGCAGCCCTTGGCAAAATGTCAAACTTAATCAAAGGAGCTATGCCAAGCCCTATTTATATTTTCTTTTACATTTTTATTTTCCTTACACTGAATATCTTCAAAATTTAGAAATAAGGATAAGGGTGGGCGAGTGAATATAAATAACTGAGCATCAGCTACTGAAAATACAGTTCATTTCTTTCAATCAAATAAATCAAATGCCCTTTATCTATCCCACTCTGATATGTAGGCTGAGTTTACACATCACATTAAGTCATCTGCTTTGCCTTAACAATATACCTTGTTGCATAAACCACGATTGGAACACTATGCTCAGATACAAGTAACTTGCATTTTGGCTTATTCTTTATTCTATTCCTACCAAACAATTAAGTTGGACTTTTTTTTTGAAAGCTAGCTGTTTAATGAGAGCAATAACCAATGTAATTACACAGAACAGAAAATACTTGCTCAGTGAGCTTCTAAAAACGAATTCAGTTAATTTTTCTATGTTGTATAGATATTTTGTGCTGAAACCAATAAATAGTTTGAAGATGCAGAATGTAGGGCTATTTGGGAAAAGGGAAGAAGGAGGTGACAAAATTAAGTGGTGAAATATAATTTAGAAATATCACAGTTTTAAGGTTTTCAGCAAATGCTTGTAATTGTATGATGTTAAAACCTAAGCAAAAAAGCTGGTACAGAGACAGAGGACACGTTCTTGTTACAAACTAAGGTATAATTTGTTTTTCTCTATTTAACTTTGTCTTAGCATGCTGCTACTATATTATTTCTACACTGCAAAAATTCATTAGAGTTTTTTGCATCTCTTTCCTGCTATTCAGTGGTTGTCCAACTCAGATTATGGTACATTTGAGATTATGCCTTAATGCAGTACAGTATATAATTCTAAACAATTATGGTTTGTTCATGACAAACAAACTGTGGCCCAATACTTGAACCAAACTAAATGGACTAAGTTCAGAAAAATAGATAATTGTCCATTGTGTAATCATATTTCAGTTCGGGTTTTTTTTCAGTTCATTTTTCAGTTTTCTTTGATGGAACAAATATTTGATGGAGCAAATATTACAGCCTAAAACAAATGTAATATTTTTCATATGGAAAACATAACTATATAAAGGGGATTGATATGGAATATTTAATGAATCATAATTATTCAAAAAAATCTTGCAATACAGCTTTTCTTTGTTTCATCTAAGGTGGTGCTTGTACAGATCTCAGATTGTTGAGTTGCTCAGGTAATACGTTGCTTAGGTGAACAATGTGTTACTCAGGAACAAAGCTTTTAGACAAATGCCTAATGTTGATTTAAGAGGTCAGCAGTGTTGTAATATAACTTATGTAGTAATATTGTGTTTTCCGTGTTTACATTTCTTTGCAGGTTCTTTTCGTAACAGCTCTCAAGAGAAACATCAGTGTACTATGGAAGGCTCCTCTCAGCTTTATAAGAAAAGTACATTCCCTCCACTTTTGGAGTCTTACTTACCTCTTAATTGCCAGAATCAGGTAATACAGGTTTTGCAATGTGACCATTAAACAATTGTATTACAACTTTTTAGTTCTTTTTCTTTTTATAATAAAATTCCATAGCATGTGTATCAGTATTTTTTCCCACTGTGAATTTGCAGAGTAAACTTCACTACATAATCTTCCTGCAAATGTTAAAGTGAATTTGCTGTTTCCAAATCTCACTAGAATTAGTGACCCTGATGGAAGGAGAAACACTGTGAAAAATAGCAATCTAAATATTTTAGGAGAGAGCAGCGCTTGGTGGGCTTGGAAGCTAAACTTCTAGTTCTTCCTTCCATGTACTGCTTATTTGATACTCAGGTAGGCATTGAATTATGACAATAATCAGGACTGGAACTTCTGTCACTAAGTGATGTGGTGGTTCTGTGAGTTGTGCCTAATTTTATAACCTCTGTGACTGCTAAGCAAATCACCATGGTCATTAAGCAAATCACACAGTTGTTAATGAATTAGGCTTCCCCCATTGACTTTGCTTGTTGGAAACCCCACCAGGAAGGTTGCAAATGACCCCCAGATGATGACCCCTGGATGATGCAACCATTGTAAATACTTGCTAGTTACCAAGCACCCATGACCCTGGGGACAGCCCTAAGTGTGAGGAGCGGTTGTAAATAACATTTTTCCATGCTGTAGTGACTTGAAATGGTAATTGAACAAATGGTTAAATCTCCTGGACTACCTTTAGTCACCAAGAGTCAGATTACCCCTAACTGAAAGCCTTCTTCACTGGGTCAGAGTTTGCATTATGGACTCAAGCAAGAATTTAAAATTAAATTAAATTATTAAATTAAATTAATGTAATTTCAAAAAGAGACTGGACAGCCATTTGTCTTAAGAGAACTGGATTCCTGTACTGAGAAGAAGAAGAAGGGACTAGATAACCTAAAAGCTCCTTTCCAACATTATAATTTTATCTCTTAAGGTTAGAATGATGTGTTGATGTTCACCATCAAGTACCCAATGTGGTTTTTCCACTACATAGTCCTCATGGCTAACATATATTCCCTCCTCTTCTGTTGATGTCTTGAAGCAGCTTCACTTTCTAGTCAATATTCCAACAACTAATAAGTTCTGGGACTTTGTGTCTCCTGTTTAGTTCTGGCTCGGCTTTAATTTAATGTAGGCAAAATGACAACTCATTAAATATTTCTCTGGTCTTTTAGAGTTGCAGAATTGCAGAAAGCAAGGTTTTTCCTTTTGTAATTGTTAAACTTTGCAGAGTTTGTGGGCAGTCTGTTTCCCCTGTTAACAGAATTGTTTTTCTTCACTAGGCCTCCTGGCCATTGGGAACCATTGCAGGTCCTTGAAAGGAATAAGCGGCTTGATGATTTTGCAGGTCTCCCTCTTCAGCAATCGCTCTAGTTTTTAATTCCCTGCCTATGGGTAGGTAAATACAAAAGTTATTTTGTATTTACCTAGCCATAGGGATAAAAAGCAGTTTAAAAAGCAGTCAGGATTGATCAGGGCAATTTCTAACTCCTAAGAGATGAGTGTATGTCTTGCACCCCTTTATGGCATCCATATGGGCAAAGAGAGCTGAGGTAAAAAATCATCAGAATTCTTCTGTTTTCCCCTTCTTGTCTGCTTGGCTGCAAAGTACAACCCTATGAGGTTTTCCCCCCTCCTTTTTAATCACTTTGTGGATAATGTGGCTAGGAATGTATTTTCTTCCTCTTTTGTGTAGATAATGGGAAATGGTATTTTGCTAGGGTAAGATCATCTCCCTATCCCATCCCCATCCCCATTATCTTCAGATCCCTGCTCATGGGGCCTGTCTGTTGGTATTGTTTAGACAACTCATGCCCCTCTCATGCCTTCCAGCCACCACAGCAACATGTACCCATGGTTACAGCTACTGGGAAAAGTGCCTGGTTGTAGAATTGTAAGCATGCTATCTTTGGACCCTCACACTAGCAATCGGTATTTAAATGTGACAGGGGTACACAGTTTTACAGTTACAGTGGCCTCTTTACAGCTAGCGTTCAGACTTTTTTTTTTTTTTTTTGCAAATAGCCAGAGAAACACCATGTTTTGAAAATGCAGGGGAGAAGTAGCAATTTATTTGATTTCAGGCTGGAAAATGAAAACTTGCCACCATGTTCTAAAACTCTTGCTTAGGGAAGGGCAGAGCCCAAATCTAGTTTTCTTTGCACGGGACAACCCTTCCTACTGTTTTAGCCACATATTTTTGTAGCTACACAAACAAGAAGCTTGTTCCGTTTCTCACAAAATTTTATGCAATACGAAGAAATAGTTGAAGACATGTTAGCCCTGCAAGGAACTCAGACCAGAAGGTCAATCAGGAGTCTAAGCTCTTTCTTGATTGTAAGGTTACATTAACAGACCCTTGCAGGACTGAAAGTATTTCTCCCCTCCTTTTCCTTTTATTTTCCAGAAAACTAGGGAGAGTGCTTCCCATGTTCCTGTTCCTTCTGTGGGCCAAGGTATATATTTTACATGCCAGCTGCCAAACTTATGGCTCTGCATCCTGTCTGCTGAGCTTCCCACCTACCATTGCACGTGGCTTTATTAATAAAATAATAACTTTGGGGCCTCAGTAAAATTCTGTGGTTTAAGTGGGTCAGTTTTTGTGTAAAATGCTCAGTTGAAAGCACTTCTGAAGCATGATGCATTAAGTATGCACTAAAATTAAATAAGCAAAGTAAACATTTTAATTATTACGAGAAACTTGGGAAATCATAGGATGGAGAAGGAGAACTTCTGACACTTAAAATTCAAAAGTGATGTGTGTAGAGAAATTTGGTGGTGTAACCAAATGCTAGTATCTAAACTCTAGACCAGGAGTGTCCAACCCGTGGCCTGCAGGCTGCATGCGGCCCTGGTCAGCTATATATGGGGCCTCACAAGATTGTAAATGTTTAACATTATTATGTTATTTATATCCATTAACTATATTATATAATTTATATGCTGCCCAAGACAATTCCTCTTCATTAAATGTAGCACAAGCAAGCCAAAAGATTGGGCACCCATGTTCTATACCAGGAGTCCCCAACCTGTGGGCTGTGATACCATGATTGTTGAGAGTAGAAGCTTATGTATGTTTATAATCCTTTTTGGGGGGGTGGGGGGATGGGGGCTTAAAAGCTAATGGTATCAATCAATCTTGAAATGAATGATATTAATATTATCTTTCCTGGCTTCCCAGAACGATTAAAGTAATGTTTGGAAAGTTTTAATGTGCGTGGAGACAGGAAAGTGATCCTTGGTGAGCACTTTGAAGTAATTAATGAATGTCTTTTAGTGGCAGATCATCTTGGAAGCAAAAAAGGATTTGCTAGAAGTACAAATTGTATGAAAATGAAAATACCAAGATGTCACCATATGTCATATATAACATTCCCATAGTAACAAGGTAATAAATATAGCCATTTATTGCAAAGTGTGGAGGAAGGATGGATTCAAATCCTGTTTATGAATAATAAAGATATCGCAGATGTATGAGTGTAGCAGCAATAACTATGATTTGGCATCTAACTCCATTAAATTATTAGACATGAATTTTTCTACACCTCTTTGGTATATTACGGATATTAATAAAACAGCTTGCCATTCTACATAAAACCATGTTTGATCTGCACAATAATAAAATTTGTAAAGTCTTTGCACATAATTCTATTTTTTTTAAAAAATATCAATTTTATTTCTTGGCTCTTGAATTATGAACATTGTGTGTTGAGATTTGAGGCATCCATGAGAGAACAACTTTTGTTTTATATTCTAGGGCTAAAATGGTTAAGAGGGCAGTGATATATGTCTGATATCCTTCCACCCTACTCCTTTTTCTTCGACTTCATATTCACTCACAAAATCGCAATAGGTTTTGGACACAAGTTCAAATATGAGTACAAATTCCTTTCAGGTGTTTTCATGGAATGGAAGGAATTGAGAAAAGGAAAGTGCATGGCGGTAAACTTTACTAATATAGAGGCAAGGTATATACTACAGATATGCAGAATATTTGCAAGAGATTCTTCCCAAAATGCATTCACATATGCAAAACAACTCTCCTCAGAGTTTAAAGCAGCCATGTCATTTGATAAGTTTGTGTAGCTGCTTTGAAAACTATCCCTGGTTGTTTGTGCAAGTCTATGTATGCACGGTGTAGAGGACATAAGGAATGGCTTTTAAGGGCAGGAGGAAAAAATGCTGCCACTGAGTCGGGTAAGTGGATTTGAGCCCTGGCCAATAAAAGAGCTTGAGGAAATGTTGCAGACATGTCCCTCCCTATTTCACATTGTGATAAAGTGAGGGAGGGGAAAGCACTGTCAAGAGTTACTATAGCTCAGGGCTGTCAAACTCCCAGCCTGCAGGCCAGATGCCTCATGCGCTTGCCACGCCCAGGCCCGGTTTAGCAAAGAGGGAAGAAGTCTCAATATGTCATGTGACGCCGTGAGTTTGACATCCCAGCTATAGGTATTCCTATAAAGGTAGTCCTGATCTTTATAGCATTAATTTCTTAATCTTGCCTACCTTGTTGTGCTGACAGAAAGTTGCAGGACTTCCTCAGGAGTTGTAATGGAAATGTTTGTGTTTGCACACATGGGCTTCTTCTGAATTGTTTACAGTACACAGATCTAGGATATAAAGTGTCAAGAGATCCTTTACTGATATTGTACTGATATAGAACCTGAACAGTTTCCTTGCATTTCAGGGCTTAACCTTTTTGCTCTTTGAGGCATGAAATATGAATTTGTCAAGGTGGGGTCTTTCTGTCTTGATACGCATAGTGCTCAGCCCATTCAGGGTCCATCAGAAATGCTAAGAGTTGTTTTCTGGTTCATCATTTTTTTTTAAATTAAGTGTAAAACCTGCCATTTCAAAAGCAATGGTGTAATTCTGAAAGTAGATTGTGTAGAATTTGGGCAAAAATGTAAAAGCTGTATTACGCTATTCAGTAGAAAAATAGCTAAGAAAGAATGTGATATATAAATCAGTTCCTCACTTGGCAAGGCATGACCATTTCTCCTGTCCCCTACTGCAAAAAGCTCCACAATTACTGAGGAGAGAATGTTCTCCAAAGATCATGCAGTACTGTTTGAGCAAATGTTTGAGGGAGAAAAATGATAACAGCCAGAAAACAGTAGATTCTTAAGATAATTCGGCAATGCAAGTAGATCTTGACTTCCGACCAGTCACTTAGCAACCCTCTAAATGTAGAAGAGATTATCCCCAAAGCCACATGCGATCCAGTTTCAAAGTTTTGACAACAGTCCCCCAATCAGGTGATTGCATTTGGGGCAGTTAGCAACCGGCCCATATTTGCAACCATTTGCAGTGTCCTGTAGACTCATGATTGTGTTTTATGACCATGATTTATTTACTTCTGGCTTCCTGCAAAGTTCACTTGGCAACTGCCTCAACAAAGGTCATAAAACACAGTCACATGGTGACCCGCTTAATGACTGTCATAACTTATGAACATAATTCTGTGTTCCATTAAAGTTATAATTTGAGCACAATCTGTGTATCTATCATGGACAATACCACCAAACATCTAAGGACACACACTCAGCAAATAGGTTGAGATATTGCAGTTTTACTCCTTCCCTCTGGAAAAATCTTGCTCCTGGCAGTATACAGTCCTGCATCTAAATATTATTTAAGGTGCAGCAACACTCGTTTTGATGCAGGGTCCTTGTTTTAAGAATATTCACCCATCTGGTTTGGATTTATGAGCCTGTTCCCCTACCTAATAAGGATTGGATTCAGTGAACTATAGACATTTTATAATTCCAGTGTATATTTGTTACAGGGAAATAAATAAATGTCTTAGTTGCCTAAAGGTTTCTATGCATACACACATATCCTGTTGCATTTGTTGCGTCTAAGGCTGCTTGGTATTTTGGTAGCTTTTTAAACTGAGGCTTTCCACAAGTAGATTTTTCTGGGAATTGCCAGGATTACGCATGTTTGCTGTGTGTCCTAGGTAGCAAAGAATTGCACACAATGTGCAAGAAGTTTTTGCCAGCTTGAGCAATGTTCTTTTTAGGTAGGTTGGTTCTCATCCAAAAAGCAGTATTTTATAAACATAGGAAAACTTTTACATTTGGAAGAACATAACACAATAGTTTGTCTTGATAGCATTTTCTTTTTGCTTGCTGTAAGTACCTATATTGTTTTCTGGCTATACGTTATTGCATAATCTTTGTACATACTGAGAAGATATTTACTGTGATGTGAAGGTTAATCTCTAGTTTAGCAAACTGCTTTGCTTATCAGATGCTTCAAAAAAGGTTCATAATTTAAACAAATTGCCTCAGAATTAATGATTCCCTTTAAAATGCATTTTATTTGAATCCAAAGCATTAAAATGGTATTGATATCATTGGAGTTATATACAAAACTCACATGGCTCCTTTCTGATTCATTTATATTCCAGATATTTCATGGTTTTAGTTATTTTCCATTCAACAGATTTTGGCAGGAAAAAATGAAGGCCTTTGCAGCCACTACTTCTTAGTATGCCAAGCCAAGTTAGGCTACCAGCATTACAATTTCTTTGGGCACTATTTAATTATGTCCCTGGCCTTCCTGCTTTTTTCAAATACAGAATAATAGAGTTGGAAGGGACCTTGAAGATCTTCTAGTCCAACCTGTGTTCAAGCAGGAGACCCTATACCATTCCAAACAAGCGACTACCCAATCTTTTCTTCCAGCACCTATAGCATCTGAAGGGAAGCAGTTCCACTGGTTAATTGTTCTCACTGTTAGGAAATTTCTTCTTTGTTCTAGGTTGCTTCTCTCCTTGATTAGTTTCTATCCATTTCTTCTCATCTTGCCTCCTGGTGCTTTGGAGAATAGGTTGTCTTCCTCTTCTTTGTGGCAGCACCTCAAATATTGGAACACTGCTATCATGTCACCCCTGGGCCTCTTAGAATAGATATACCCAATTCCTGTAACCGTTCTTCACATGCTTTAGTCTCCAGACCCCTAATCATCTTTGTTGCTCTTCTCTGTGCTTTTTCCAAAGTCTCAACATCTGTTTTGCAACGTGGTGAACAAAATTGCATGCAGTATTCCAGGTGTGGTCTTACTAAGGTTCTATAAAGCGGTACTAATACTTCTCATGATCTTGACTCTATCCCTCTTTAGTGTGATCAAGTTAAGACATGCCACTGGCAGCCCCACATAGATTAAGAGGATCTTTAAAACAGCAATTAATGATACCCTACTGTTCTTATGGGATTCTATTTTGTTTGGCTCAGAACAGAGCAAATTGGCAAAAACCAGAAAGAAACAAAAAGGAGCCGATAAGGAACAACAGCCACATTTTAAGTGAGGAAGAAAAGGATGAACTCCTCAAGCAAGCTCTGCTTGAAAAGGTAATGTGTTTGAACAATGCAAATGATCGCTTTTCTCCACTGTAAATTTTGGCATTTTAAATATGATTGATAAATAACTATATACATAAATATTTCCCTGAGTGGCTGATTCTACGAATAACCTTGCTTTGTTCTCTCAGTCTTACCTTAGATCAATTTTCAAACTTTGCTTGCTAGGCCCATGTTTTAGAATAGCTTTCCTTTAAATTGATTGGAGGTGATGGAAATTGGGATCCAGCATATATGGAGGGTATCAGGTTGTCAAAACATAGTGCTTCATATTTTAAAAGTGCCTGCTGTACATTGCTGAGAAAATGCTTTAATGCCCTACCCAATCTCACAAAGTGAATCACCCAGCTGTTTTTTGAAGAAGAAAAAAAAAACTTTTTCCCTGGATGGTTTATAAGATCCAGCACATGACATTTTGTTCCAACTTCCCCTCCTTTAAGGGAGCTGCTTGCTGATAAGCTCATATTACATGCCTTGGAAAATAGCAATAGCAATAGAACTTAGACTTATCTACTGCTTCACAATGTTTTACAGCCCTCTCTAAGAAGTTTACAGAGTCAGCATATTGCCCCCAAAAATGACTCCTCGTTTTATCAACCTGGGAAGGATGGAAGGCTGAGTCAACCTTGAGCTAGTGAAAATTGAACTGCAGAACTGCTGGCAGTCGGCAGTCAGCAGAATTAGCCTGCAATACTGCATTCTAACCACTGTACCAGCACAGCTCCTATTTAAAGTATCTAAAGAACTCTGAATGTGGTTTCAATAAACGCTGTTACACATTAGCCATAAGGTTTACCTGGTTTTGGCCAACAACTGCTGTGGCTACTTGAAGTGTAATTGATGTAATGGATGCAGTGTGGATGGAAAGGAGGATGGAATGCAGAAAGACTATTTAAAGAAAAAGAAAAATTAATCAAGGCTCTGCTGTGCATCAGTTTTCCTGACGCCTATAGGAACTGCAATGTGGAAAAGTGGGAACAGCTTCAGCTATTGAAGAATTCAAATAAATAGTGTCTAACCTTCGCAACTTTAAGACCTACGAACTTCAACTCCGGGAATTCATAGCTGGCTGGGAAATTCTGGGATTGAAGTCCACAAGTTTTAAAGTTGCCAAAGTTAGGCACCCCTGGTCTATACATTTTGCTTATATACTGTATATATAAGGATTAGAGTTACAGACCCAAGATGGAACTAAAGAATCGAGATTTTAAATATTTGATTGTGAAATACTGTACAAATATTAACAGTTTTACTCCAATCTTGTACTAGAGTTATTTCATATCCCCAGAAAATAGTACTATTAAAAGGCAAGAGCTTCATTTCAGAAATGAACAAAGCTTATAAGGTTGCTGGGGAAAGTGTATGGATGTGTTTATGAAGTCAGTGATAGTGAGATTTACCTTCAAGATTTTACATTTTTAAACACTTTGAGTTGGGGATTGGTTTTTTAAAATTCTTTCTTTTGAGATGATTCTCAATAGCACCATCTCTTGATGGATCTTCATAATACTCAGTATTTATTACTTCCAGTACAAAAAGAGTATTTTTTATTTTGCAATTGTTAAGCATAATACACATGATTTCACCCTAAGTTAATTTACTAGCACAGTGATAGATGATGCACCAGTAATATGGAATTAGAAAGCAATGTACGCTATTATGTGCTGAAAGTATTATATTAATCCTATTGAATTAATAATATGTTTTGAAAAGTGAATGTTGTCTTATAATTGGATATAGGTACTTGTAATAGCAAGTTTTGCTAGGAAAATATTGTTCCTGTTGAAATATATATTGTGTGATTTTGCAATCTGTTTAGCATGCAGCTTGAGTATAAATTCAAGTTAGCTGGGCTAAGTTGAATTATTGCTGTAGCATAAAGTGAGCATGAGATTATATTGCTGTGGAATTTACACATTAGGGTTAGACAAGTTGTATTTAAAGAATGCAACACCAGGTGGCACTGCTGAATTGCACTGTGCAGCCAAGCACTCCAAGTGGAAGAGAAGAAGAATTAGGGTTGTCCCTCTTGGAATGTCTATGGAGATTCTCAATCATCCAGATCAAGGTAATTGGAGTTTCTTGGGGGGGGTGTTTCCTTTGAAAACAAACAACAACAAAAACCCCAAAAAAATCTAGTTGCCTTTTAGAAAATCACCATTGAGATACTTCTTGGAAGAAATTTGGGTAAGCCCAGTACCTGTATCATTTTGTTTTTTAGGGAAGGCTGAAAAAAGATGTCAGGGTGGTAAGGTTTGTGTTGACCTTTGATGAGTAGATTCTTTTCTTTTATACTCATGCTGAAGCCTGAAATGTGTTGAGCTGGTTTAAATAAAATGCTATGATTATGGGAGGTTCAATACACTTTTTCCAAATCATTTTCAAAACGTACACAGACTTAGTAAGAATATATTTGCAACAAGGTACATTTTTCTGGGAAAATACAGTATGTCTGGAATGATTTTCTTTAAAAAATGTTCTTATCAAAATGAAATACTGTTTTTTTTAAAAGGTTATATTCAAAGTATAACTTTATACAACCTACTGTGGAAATTCAGAAAAACAGTTTTCTGAATTTGCTAAAGAAATTTTTAGGTAATCTCTTAAGGAAACTTTATGGTATTAATATAAGTTGCACATTCACAGTGTTTGTTTTCCCTGCAAGAATTTCCAATTACAATGCCTCCTATCCTTTTAATCAAGCATCATCTTGAAACCTACAAGAATCTCTATAAGATAAGAAATATCTTATATGAACGCTACAAGACTTTGTTGAATCAGAAAGTGCTAAAGCAACGAATTCAGATCAAGGCATTTGATCTGAAACATCAACAACTTAAGCGCAAAGAACAAAAGGTATGTGTTCATTGAGGGGGGAAGGAAATGGCCAAATCAAGAAGGAAACTAGAAAATTCATATTTTGATGATATATTTTAGAGCTTTTATTCAAATTTATATGGGCATTATTACAAATGCGTTATGTGTGAGTACAATAGCTACAATTTTGCAAACTAGAATAATGTATGTGAAGCATAGCCGTAATAGTTTGTTCAATAAGTTAGCTGATTGCCAATAGAAAATTAATTGTTGAGAAACACGGTGTTGTTAATTCCATGCCTGGACAAACTTGTTTCAAAGATTTTCTGAAACTTCAAGCTATGTGCAAAGATGAAATAGAGTTGAATTCTAAGCGGATAGACAATAGGATGTGTAAAGGCTAAGAAGAGGAATCAAACATTTCTGGAGTTCAGAAATTCCATTGACATATACAGTACATGTCTTTGGATAAATGTTAAGTTGGCTTTTAGAATTCCAGTGGTGCAGTAGAAAAATACTTTATAGCTTAGGTTATATTTCTGGATATATTAGATAGATATTATAGTTTATAAATTGCTGTGGTACTGTCTAATTCACAGATATATTTCATTGTCTGTGTTGATGTTGTTACAATCTTCTGATGTCCTTGAATGCCCTAGAGGGATATAAATAGCCACCATTTCTCTCTTAATTGTAGTCTAATTTATTTATTATCTAAGTTGTTCTGCACCAATTTTCCTTTGCAATATAATATCTCATGTCTGAATTAACATTGTAGTCTTTCTTGAAATAAATAACTATTTAATAGTCTTGAATGTGCTTAAAATACCTATAATGTATATGAGAAGAAGCATAAATAAACAAACAATTGTTTCTTTAATTGCTGGTTTTAGTTTGAAACTGTGTTTTCATATATGCTTTTATCATTTTAATTGGCATTTGCATTGCTTTCTTGAAAATACATTGAATTTTTAATGGGTAGTTTCAAGCAGCTACTTTAAATAAATTCTATGGGAGAACAAGGGTATGATTGTATAGGAACATCTTATAGCTCTAGTTTGATTCCTTCCTGAACCTGCAATAATACATTACTCTAATTCAGAATTTCTACAGATTTTTATTTCTAATAAGTTTGCTATATTTGCTTTTCACAGTGATTCCTTTTGGGAACCAAGATTTTCTATAAAATCTTTGGAACAGCTTAGGATAATATTGGGCCCCAAACAATTAATAAGACATACATTTAAAATATATAAAGATCAAACATAGTTACATATCACAGCTCAATTTAGGTTCCCAAAAATTTAATATCAGTCTGAAAAAGGGCAAGTATATGCATTTAATGTAGAGGATTGTTTATGTCTGAATAATTATCATTTCCTCAACATAAACATGAAATTATTTTGAAAGAAATTCAAACTCGGGAAAAAAAATCCATGTATAAAACTATTTTTTTAATATTTTGAATTTGAATATTTATATTTTGTATAGCAGAAGATAAATGTAAATAATCACACAATTAAAGGTTAAGTGAATATCTTTTAAGTAGTGGTTGTGAATCTGCACTCAACAACGTGTTTGTGAATCTGAAATATATTTTATAGAACTTGAGTTTTACTTTTCTTTAAGAAAACAGTGATTTTTGCAGAAAATTTCTTAGAATCTGACAACAGTTTCTAACAAAGAGGTAAAATTGTTTGTTCCAGTTCTTTCTTTTTACTTCCATCTACCCTATTTTGTAGGCATATTTAGTTGGTTGACATTACAAACTCTGTTTATCTCAGTTAATGTTTCCTTAATATTAGTTAGAAAAATTAATTGAAAGACACAACTTGTGGTTTTAATACACCAAATTCTCAAAAATTTAAAGAAAAAAAAAAGCAGACAAATTGATCTGAAGTACTGTTTTGGAGTTCATCTGATGCTCAAGTATGCCATTGTGAATCACAGAAGGGTTGGGGAAATACTTTGGAGAAGTTAACTATATTTGTTGCCCAACAAATAAGTCCAAAGAAGGAAAACAAACAAAGAAACAAACAAATATAAACACACACACATTGGGTGAGGAATTAAACAGACAAGGATCTAAATAAATAATTATTCTTTTTCAGAAGATTTCTTCCTTCAGTTTTCTCATTCTGGTCCTATAAAAAAGCAAGACACCTTCTGTCTTAAGACTCAAAATATCAGATTGACCCTCAAGCCAATGTTAAAGTAGAGATTGTTGTCTTATTAGCATGCTATTAATATGTGCATGAAATATAGTCTGTGTCTCAACCCAAATACACACATTGGGAAATCAAAGGGAAATCCTTCACACCTTTTGCTGGCTTCATCCTGAATTTTTTTCTCTCTCTGAACAACTTCCTTAAGAGAATTTCCTCTTCTAAAGGACAGTTCTCCATATTTAACAAACAAATCCATCAATGAATTCTCTTTACGACCATATGACTCATGAAGAAACTCCTTTAATTTTGTTTGCTTAATTAAAGTTAATACACAGAGAAAAATAACTGAAACAACATTTAACTTTCCAAACATGTTTCAAAAAATAACCAGAGAATATCATTTTAAAAATAAAATTTCACATTACAAGATAATGTTTTGCTCCAATAAAAGGATACACTTCAATTTCCTGTTGTAGAAATCTAAATGAATATGCAAGAATCAGGCTGCCCAATATCAAAGGGCCACAGTCTTTGAACTTCAAAGAAAATGTGTCTTGTCAATTTATGCCAATATGCTTGTGTTTTAAATTTTTCTTTGTACTCTAATGGTTCACCTTTTCTTTCTGTTAATAGTCCCTATGTAAGCTAACTCGTGGGGATTCAGTGCATAGCATTAATTAAATCGTATTTTTTAAGAAAGAAGTGTTTGCAAGTATTGTGCAGTAAACTAACAATAATCACTGAAGTCACAGTATAGAAATCAAAATGAATGTTTATCAATGTGCCATTGTGTTTGAGGTAACTGCTATTAGAAAGAAAAGAAGAAGAAGAGTTTTCAGTTGTGAACTACAGGCATTCCTTGACTTACAATCACAACTGAGCCCAAAATTTCTGCTGCTTTGTTAAGTGAATTTTGCCCCATTTTACAATGTTTCTTGCCATAGTTATTAAATGAACCATTGCAGTTGTTAAGTTAGTAACATGGTTCTTAAATGAACCTGGCTTCCCCATTGACTTTGCTTGTCAGAACATTGCAAGAGGTAATCACGTGATCCCAGGACACTGTAACCATCATAAATATGAGCCAGTTCCCAAGCATCTGAATTTTAAACACATGATCATGGGAATGCTACAACAATCATAAGTGTGAAAAATGGTCATAAGTCACTTTTTTCACTGCCATAGAACTTTGAACGGTCACTAAATGGACTGTAGTAAATTGAGGACTACTTGTATTGTGCAATTGCTTCCTATGTAGCCTTACTCAATTTTATTGTGATACCTCCAGCGTATGTAGAGGCCACTATATTAGGAAGGACTGCAAAACTTGTAACCAAATCAGTTCCTTATTAATGTCAAAAGCTTTCCTTTTCACTTGTATATAGGATGCTTCCCTGCCCTTCGAGACTTCTGACACTTCATTATTCCACACATAGTGAAACTGAACGCATAGCCTTCACAAATGGATGGCTCACCTTAATTTTCGGAATGTCAATGTAGCTTCACATTTGGGGAAGCTATAAACTTATTTCTATAGAACTCTGGACAACAGAAAACATTTTAAAGCCCATATACCTCAAATAACATCAATCATTTGTAGCAAAGTTTACTAATACGAATAGAATAGATTTTGGAGAAATAATTACTGAAATGCTTAAAATAAATTACCACTTCTTTTACACTGTGCTAAAGCATAGAGCGAGAGTCAGTTTGGTATATAGTAGTTAAGGCACCAGGCTAGAAAATGAGAGACTGAATTCCAGCCCCAACATAGGCACAAACCCAATGGGTGACTTTAAGCCTGTCACTTTCTCTCAGTCCTACGATGGGAGCAATGGCAAACCACTTCTGAAAAACCTTGTCAAGAAAACTGCAGAGCCTTATCCAGGCAGTCTCTGAGAATTGGACACAATTGGAAAAGAAAAAGTGTAGGATTGTAAATCTCCTACTGGTCCATTACTGTCCCTGATTTTAACTTCAAAGGTGAAAGAAATCTAGCTCTAGTTTGCAGTTCTGAAATATTAACCCAGCTGAGATTTGTGTAGCTATGTCTTTGCAACAGAAATCAAATCATGTTTAAATTCAGGAGGGTTTTTTAAATAGATAATTATGCTTATGTTTCCATTTTTAACTTTGCTTGACTGTTGCTTATTTTAATTCTTTTATAACGCCTAACTTCATTATTATGATCCATCCTTAAATTGTCTACAATATGAAGTATTGTTAATAGTAACTGTGATAAGTTTAGTTCTTCCCTGCCAGTTTATCATATAAAATTATCTGGGTCCACACATTACACAAAGACTTAATCATGGTTCCTTTAAGTATGTTTTGTCGAATAAACCCCAGGTGACTAGGTTTGTGCCTATTAAGTCAAAACCAGGCAAATCACATTACAGCACTGGATCCCATCTTCCATGCTTTGCGGTATGCCCATTTCTGTGTCTTCACAATTTAAGATTTTAAACGAAGTTTTCACACAACCCCACAAAATTTTATGTCTGTTCGGATGCATATATCTAAGAGACCCTTATACTAAGTTCAGATTTTGGAGAATTTAAACTATCTTTCCACTAAAGAGAAGGGTCTGTTTACGGAATTAATGATGAAGAATAGATGCCAGTTGCTCAACAGGAAAGGTTCCACAGCACATGTGTTAGAAGCTGAAAAATGGGTTAAATATGCTACTAGGAAATACTTAGGACTCTCATTATTTGAGAATGAGCATTCTGTTAGAGAGTTTATTCAATCTGCTGCCTGAAGCTAGGTAAACGAAGAAAGCAAAACACTTCATAGTAATATCTATGCTGTTTTTTTAAAAAAATTATCGATTTGTCTTGACCGAAGGAGAACATATCTGTTGTCATAATAAAGCTGTCCTACGTTGATCTTAAATGATAAGGAAATGCAACTGTTCTTTATATATGATTTTCAGTAATTTTATTGGTACTATAAAGTTTTAAAGGATGAAGATAGCTAAAACAATCAAGCAGTATTAAAGGGCTGTCATGTTCTCTATAAGGGCTTATTTTATGCTTTATAATCTGCTGTATTCTTAATAGTCACCTGACTCAAAAGAAACTGTCTTTAATAAGAGAATAAGTGTTTCGTTTTTAATGTTACTAAATCAATGCCTAAATTTAAAGGCCACTTTAGATATTTAAAAAAAAATTAGCATGATTTGTAGAATTTTCAATTAAAAAACAAGGAAGGTTATTAAATGATAAATTGAACCAAATACTTGTTTTAATAAATAGGAAGACTTGAAACAGCTAATTGCAGAATCAGTTGAAAAGATCAAGAATCTTTTCTGTGAATTAAGAAGTGTCTAGTTTTGATAGTGTTAGCGCTACTCTGATAAACAGAAGTTTCATATGAAATTAAGATGATGGTTTTTCATGTTTTTGTAACATATGAAAAGAAATATGTGAAACACAATATAAATATGAAGTGCTTTTATATGTATTATACACATGAACATTTTGCAGCCTAAGGTGTTTACTGGAACAGAGTATGGGAAGACAGTATTGTTCCTTTATTGTCATTAGAAAGGTACTGCAGCCATGTGAATAGTAGCTTCAAAACATGATATATTGCCTATGAAATGTCAAAAAAATATGGTTGGAGGTAAGTATGATTTGTTCCCGCCCATCACTGTAACTGACAATGGACTGGTTGGATCAGAAGTCAATCTCAACCCAGTTGAGACTTGGTTTCCTGCTGTATTCATGTGTCTTGATGAATCTCAGATTCACTGTCTTCAGCTCCTCTGGAAGTTTCAAAATATTGGTTTTTAATTTGAATTAATCAGGGTTTTTTTTCCGGCAATTGAACTTGGGGACCTGCAATTTGTTTATCTTAAACTTAGACATATTTTTTTAAGAGTTGAAGAAAGTTGGATTGAACATTTCAAATTTCAAATTAAACCCTGATATCATCACCTCAACAGCCTTCATGACACTCAGAACTGGAAAAATGGGAGAAAAGTTCCTGCCTGTAGCTGGATGCCTGTTTAGTTGATGAAATCATAGTTTGATCTTGGTTTGTTCATCATCATAATTAAAGTAAATTAAAATGCCTTCAGATATCACAATATACTGGCAAACTTAAACTCCAAGATGGATGCTTTAGAATTAGAACAACCAGACCTGGCTGTAAAAATCCAAACAGTTAGCAGCAGCAAGGAAACTAATTTTTCTATACAACTCTAATTTCCAGACATCAGCTTGTAGTCTGAATTATGGAAATTCTGTCCCACCACCATATGGGAACTTAGGTTAGCCTTTGAAAGAAAAGAGGATTCTTTAAAACAAAGAATTCATTTATTTTAAAATATTGTATTAAAGAATTCATCATTGAACATCAAATATATAAAATAAGAGAAAGGAACTCCTACAACTTAGATGATGTTTTTTCCAAAGAGTAGATAGAAATTAATTAATTAATTTTTGTCCAGGCGGTAGTTTGTGACATCTGAGGACAAGAAACTTGAAGGGAGATTGAACAAGTCTACAAACAAATTTATAAGCCTATCAACCAGCATACAAATCACTGAGTGAATGAAAGAGGATGCTTCCTAAGGCTGTGTTTGCAAGTCTTCGGTCAAAGCTGGGAGTTCAGTGGGAGGGGTGGGGAGGAGCACCAGGCGGTCTTAAGAATGCCTGCTGAGTTCTAATTGGTGCCCACTGTGGTTAATGGCTTCCTGTGGCTGAATGTTTACTTGTCATTTGTTTTGAGCTTTGTTTCCCAGCTATTCGGAGAGAAATTAACCATTTTTTAAAATCTTCTTCGATAAAAGTGCACCCCTCGTCGTAAACTTCCTTTCTGCAAGCTGTCGCATGATACCAAGTACTTGGAGTCCGTGTCACAGTCAAACAGCTACTGGGTAAGACACCCTTCTCCATTTAGTTTTGTGGTTGTCACTGAAGTGTTTTAGAAAATGAATTTTTCCTCCAGGAGAGTCAAATGGTTGCTTGAGTCAGCTGTGAAGAGTCCTGGCCCTCTTCCCTTTCTCCTTTCCTCTCTAACAGTTCGTTCTGTCCACATCACTAGCAGCCATATGAGGTAAAAGCACCTTGTCAATCTAGTTTGAAGGCTCGGTTATCCATTCCAAAAGTAACCTAGAAGCTCTCATTTAAAAAGCAGTTCAATTTACACTGACAAGTCCTGGGCATTAAAACCCATTGTTTACTCAGCTAGTAATCATACTACCGGTATAAGTTTCCAATGATTACAATTTTCTTATTCTTCTCATTAGAAAGCCATGGCCTAAAGGGTTCCCATCTACACCAGTCTTAATCTCTCTGCCATATTCTGAGCATTTCCTCCTCTTCCTCCAAATTGTTAGTTAACAATTAGTAAGATAGGCACTTATGTGATCACAAAGAAGTAATTATAAAATGCCATATTTTTACCTTGTGCTAGTACTATAAAACTACTAAAATTAATCTTTACATTATAATACAAAACTATTATCAGAAAAAATAAACAAGTATCTAGGTTTTATGCTGATCTTCTTAGTGATCTGTCTGTATGGAAATGTGTTGTATTCTGAATTACAAATAGATCCTAAGTAGTCACTCACAGCACTTTGTGAAAATGCATTTTATCTTCAGGACTGTCTCATAATCTGCATAACTTTAAGATCTTTCTCAAATGTCGATCTTAACTTTAGAATAGAAAAACACTCAAAAGCATGAAAAATATATTTCAGTCTGGGTACTGATAGGATATGACAGTATCCTATCAGTATGACAGTATTAATTTTTCCATAAAGTGAACCAACAACAACAGGCAGCATTTATTTATAGATAGCCAAAATTACTTTTTAGCATTTATTCAGTCATTGTGGGCATCTGGCATTTTGGATACTTCTTGAAAAGTTTACATTCATGAAGACTGATTACTCCTTTATTTAATTTAGCAAATCCTGGGTTATGTGCTTATAGGAGAAAAAGGTTAATCCTACTAGAACATTTCTTTCTTAAACTTTGTGTAGCGTTGGATTGCTAAATCAACATTCAGAAACCAGAAGGACCACCCAGTTAAACTAATACTCTATTTTTGTGTCTTTGCTAGTTCACATTTTTAGAGAATAAATATTACTTCCCTTTTTTGAGAATAAAATAATTATTTTGGCTGCATTTCTGTATGCCTTCTTATCGTCATACTTTTTAAAATATCTTTGAGAACTACATTTTCTAGAGAAACAATTAGTCCAAAAATTTATGTATCACTTGAATTATTTGATAATTCCCATGCCATCATAACAATTCATAGCTGGTCAAGAGTGTTCTTCAAAAGAAATTCCTTGAATTTCAGGCCCCAACACAATGATGATAACCAACACAATGAAATCCCATTTTTAGGAACTCGTCTTATTTCATATTCACTTTTCTTTTTGAAGTGTTGCTGTAAGATCACAGTTCTATTCGGGGTGGGGGATGGGTAGATCTGTTTACTATCAGTCCTCTGAATGTTAGCACTCACCTTACTATTTGTATTATCACTTGTATACTTCAGTGAACCAGTTCTCAGATCCTAATCCATGCTTGCAAACTAGCTGACTATCAGGGAGGTGGGGGAAAGAGGTGACAAGGGAACTTAAATAGGAGAGGCTGCAGTAGACAATTGGTGGTGGTCCATAGACCAGGTTTGAGAACTATTGAACTATATATAGTTAGTTGGATTGATTTTATTGGGCAATAAATATGTTCTTCTATTAATACAATTCTAATATGATTGAAGTTGTTTTATAGCAGGATCTTTTGGAAAAATCTAATATATTATGGGATAGGTGTTCAATATTACTTTTGAAAAACTGTTTAGTTTCTGCAGAAATCACAATAACTATATGCTTTTGTCTCAAGATAGAACTCCAACAACTCAAGAACTTCCATTTCCACTTAACATGCATTGCCTCATTTATAAAGACATTGGTGCTTGATACAGTAAATCTTATGTTTCATATGGATGCTCCTTAATTAATTACACATTTTAAAGGAATGTTTTTCTTCCATTCCTTGGTTTAAGGTTACTGGATTGCACAATGAACTAACTAAACTTGGAATCATAAAGAACCAGCAAGATTATGAAAACTTTTGGAAATTTGCTTGGGAGGATATTCCTGGCCCAAAGATCAAGGAGAAGCTTCCTGATATAAAAGCTAAAAGCTGAGTATCTTCATAATTTCTAGAAAGTAGAATAAGATTCATCTCTACAGGAAAAGCAGGCACATATTATTTATTCTTTCACTAGCCAATATTTTAAATAAGGAAATTGCTCCCTAGAAGATCTTGTGAGCATTTACAATCCTTAAAATGCAAGATCAAAGCCAAGTTAAATAAATAATAAATTGATTTGAAATGCACATAATCTCACCAGCAAAGTGGCACCTACGAGATGAGAAATATGGGTTGACTATAGATACTAGCAATTTCATTTGTCTATACCAAGGGTCTTCAAACTTGGCAAGTTTAAGACTTGTGGACTTCAACTCCCAGAATTCCTGAGCTAACATGACTAGAGGAGGAATTCTGGGAGTTGAAGTCCACAAGTCTTAAAGCTGTCAAGTTTGAAGACCCCTGCTCTATACATAGACACAGCCATGAGGAAAGCCCTGAAATATGTTCACTTCACTCATCTTTGTCAGAATTTTCTCAAAATTTTCCCCCTCTAGATGCATTTACTTTATATCTTTTTTATTTGATTGATTGAATCTTACGATCACCTATCTCACAATGGCAACTCTGGGCACCTAACAGCAGATAAAGACAAACAAGCAGACCAACAATAATAAAGCGTAAAAAACTTACACTAGTTACCAAGAGAAAACCTAAAGAGAACAATCAACAAAATTCTTCCGTGAACCAACTAGCCTTCTTCAACACTTCACAAAAGGTCAGCATGTTGAGGCTAATCTAATCTCTGGTTCTCAGAAAGCAGGTGGTGTGACAGAAAATGCATACTTCCTAAGTCCCATTGAAAAATACAATTAGTGAAATTTGTAATAAAACAGTTGTATTATAGGAAATGTTCAGTTGATAATTTTGTTTCAGCTGATGAAAATAAATTTAGTTATGCTATTTATGTCAGAGCTTCAATATTTACTTTTCTTTTTTCAATCTCCAGTGTCCACTGCTAAATCTTTACTTTTCTCTACTCCAACTGGAATCAAACCACTCCAGCAAGTTAAAAGCTTTCCAAAGAAGAGGTTGAAAAAAGTAAGTACATTTTAAAAATCTATTTATAACATTTTTATTTTTAAATGCTCTGCTTTAATTTAGAAAATTTGTACACTGCTCAAAAAAATAAAGGGAACACTTAAACAACACAATGTAAATCCAAGTCAATCACACTTCTATGAAATCAAACTGTCCACTAAGGTAGCAACACTGATTGACAATCAATTACACATGCTGTTGTGCAAATGGAATAGACAACAGGTGGAAAGTAGAGGCAGTTAGCAAGACATCCCCAATAAAGGAGTGGTTCTGCAGGAGGTGACCACAGACCACTTCTTAGTTCCTATGCTTTCTGGCTGATGGTTTGGTCACTTTTGAATGCTGGTGGTGCTTTCACTCTAGTGGTAGCATGAGACGGAGTCTACAACCCAACACCATGCAGGATGTTTGGCATTTGCCAGAGAACACCAAGATTGGCAAATTCGCCACTGGTGCTTTGTGCTCTTCACAGATGAAAGCAGGTTCACACTGAGCACATATGACAGACGTGACAGGGTCTGGAGACGCCGTGGAGAGCGTTCTGCTGCTTGCAACATCCTGCAGCATGACCGGTTTGGCAGTGGGTCAGTAATGGTGTGGGGTGGCATTTCTTTAGGGGACCGCACAGCCCTCCACGTGCTTGCCAGAGGTAGCCTGACTGCCATTAAGTACCGAGATGAGATCCTCAGACCCCTTGTGAGACCATATGCTGGTGCGGTTAGCCCTGGGTTCCTCCTAATGCACGACAATGCTAGACCTCATGTGGCTGGAGTATGTCAGCAGTTCCTGCAAGACGAAGGCATTGATGCTATGGACTGGCCCACCCGTTCCCCAGACCTGAATCCAGTTGAGCACATCTGGGACATCATGTCTCACTCCATCCACCAACGCCACGTTGCACTACAGACTGTCCAGGAGTTGGGGGATGCTTTAGTACAGGTGTGGGAGGAGATCCCTCAGGAGACCATCCGCCACCTCATTAGGAGCATGCCCAGGTGTTGTAGGAAGGTCATACAAGTACGTGGAGACCACACACACTACTGAGCCTCATTTTGACTTGTTTTTAGAACATTACATCACACTTGGATCAGCCTGTAGTGTTTTTTTCCACTTTAATTTTGAGTGTAACTGCAATTCCAGACCTCCATGGGTTGCTAAATTTTATTTCCATTGATAATTTTTGTGTGATTTTGTTGTCAGTACATTCAACTATGTAATGAACAAAGTATTTAATAAGAATATTTCATTCATTCAGATCTAGGATGTCCTATTTTTGTTTTCCCTTTATTTTTTTCAGCAGTGTACTTTTCAGTACAAAGAGTTGTGAAATTGTTTTTCAACTACTTAATTCAATTTCATACAATGAGCAGCTTTCTTTAATCTGGTCCCTTCTAATACATTGGGTCTATTAGGGCCCTGCTTAGAGAAAGCTGCAATAAAGGGTAAATGAAGATTGCTATTACAAAATGTTTCTTATGAAAAAGACGCAGTGAGTCATTTGCTCTTGACTTAGTACTCCATATTTATATATCTTTGAAATGCCACCAATTGCTACTAATTTGCGGTAGAGAGATGGTATCATCTAAAGCAGGGGTCTCTGGGAGTTGAAGTCCTCCGGGCTTAACATGGCCAAGGTTGGAGACCCCTGATCTAAAGCCAGTTTTGTGTAGGGATTCTTCAAAGGCTATGGTTTTTAATATAACTTGTGCTGAAAGATATAAGTTTCTGAGTAAAAAATGGTAAAAGGGAATAATATACTGTACACTGTTCAGTTTTATTTAACTTAGTTAGCACAAGCAGGCCTCTCCCAATATAAAGTTTTAATTAATATTAAATAATTAATGCAGTAGACAAAGAGTTGGGCAGGGTGTTTTCTAACCTGATCTAGTTCCTGTAGGCAAAATAAGAATATAGTGAACATTCACATTTCGGTTTTATACATGTTGCCACAGCAAGGCCACATTAGCAGTAATTGATGTAGAAGTTTAAGAGCACAATAAATAAATATTTTCATTATTAAATATGATATATTTATCTCTTGCCCAACTCTAACACCAACTGTTTCATTTTTGTGGATTATTCAAATTCATTTTTTATTTTAGGAAGCCAGTCATGATAACACAAATCTTGATGAGCACTGTACTAAGGTATTACATTTAAAAAAAATAAAAAAAATGATTCTAGAATGTAACATAAGACTTTGTCTTTAGTATGTGCATTTGTTTCAACTAGTAAAATTTGATTTATATAGGTAAAGGATTTGTTTTGTTCATTTTAGACCACATTAACTTTGTTAATGTTTTTTTGAGTTATTTCGTCACTTGTTTTGTTCATTTTAGATCACATTATATAATGCAAAACAAATCTATATTTTGCCTAAGGATCCCACCAATTTCTCCTGAATTATTTTCTGACATCACAGCGAATTCAGGATTGGCTGGTATTTATAGCCAAAGAATGTGAGCTCTTTTCAGAAAGATGATCCTTGAATCTATTTAGCATTATATCTATGCTAAGTGTAGAATGAAATTATGTTGAGGAAAACAGAAAAAGACAATAATACACTTGTATAAATTTTTATTTATGTGCAAAAAAAATTATGAGCAATCAATTATGAGCCTATCATAGTAGGTTACAATGAAAAAGGACAAATCACCATAACTAATGTGTTTACAAATAACTGGAAAAATAAAAAAGCCATCTCAAAAAAGATGAGGAACTTTGAAAAATATGATAGAGCCTGAAATGATTACTTAAATATGTACATAAGCTGTTGCTGAATATGGCACAGAGTTAATATATTAAAATTGTATCTCAAAATGGATGCAAAATTTATGAGAAGTAATTTACAATGAACCAATAGGAACAGCTATGGGGAAAAATTATTTAAATTTACTCCAAGCTACAATTTAAAAGTTGTTGGAAGTTGGGAAACATATACATTTTAATTACAGTAACAATGATTATTAATAAAATAATAACAGAGCCACTGAGGATCACTCTATGAGCAAGATGGGCAGTTTTTACATTTGATAGATATATCAATAGCATACACCAATAAATATATAAATAATAATAATAATACACCATCAAACATTAACATTGCCTATCCCAGGTTCTTGGAAAGAACTTGATAGGTGGATAAAAATGGCAAATTCAATCTTAACTTCTGGCTGACTGTGCGATGAACCATCATGCAGATATAAAATATTCTATAGATGATATATTACTCAATCTACAGTTGTCAAGATAGATAAAACACATAACAACAAGCACTGGAAATGCTGTAACAACTAAGGAACATGCTATCACATGTAGTGGTCATACAAAAAAACCTCAAAAGTGTTACAAAGAAGTGAATTAAAAGAATCCATTTTTAAAAAATGAAGCTTAAGCTGAGACCACAGATATTTTTGCTAGACATAATTCCAGAAAAGCTAAGTAAAAAAAATACTAGTTTACTATGAGATCTGTTGATCATAGAAGGAATAATGGTGGAAAAATACCTCTTGCATACAATATCGTTCTGGGAGACTAAAATTGCAGAATATATCCATAATGGAAGTTTAAGAAAATTCAGGCAAAAATGGCTCTCATTCATATATTGTATCACAGAGCAAGGCAAATTTACATATGTGGAATACCAATTTTAGAATTTAAATAGAAACAAACAACAATCACTAATATTTGATATAAAGTTCAAATAATTTAACTATGACCAATAGTGGGGATACAGATGGAAGGGAAAGCGGGATATAATGTAAGGTTTATAATACTGCAATATATATTTGTTTTTTACAGTTTAAATATGGTAGACTTTTTTTTATCATCTTGCCTTTTTTCTTCTTTTTTCTACCTCCTTCACATTGCAGTATTTGCTTTTAAAGAAAAATAAAAGATTATTACACTTTAATAATCAACACATTAAACAGATGAAGAAGAAAGGTTCGAATCATCTGTTTCATTCCTGATTCAGTAGTTTTTGGAGGATTGCCATAGATTTTAGGCTACATAAGAAAGATATTAACAGTACTTTTTTTTCTTTGTGGCTATTCAGTTGCATGTAAGGTCAAGGTAAGATTTGAGAAAGTTACCCTTGGCCTTTGATCAGGGCAAAAGAAGGGTATGAACCAGATAATGATTAGAAATCTTTGTTCTGCATGCACTCATTCAATCTGATTGGCCTTAAACCACTTATGAAAGAGTTTCATCGCTGAA